CGTGAGCGACGTGATCGTCATCTGCGACGTCTCGTCATCGTCGCCCCACGAGGCCGTGGCCTCGCCGGCGGGAAGCGAGAACATCTGCTTGGGCAGCACCGGGGCCGCGGCCGACGGGAGCGGCGCCGACTTCTTGGCGGCCGACTTGGAGAGCGCAGAGAACACGTTCGAGTTGCTCATTTTTTCAGGTTTAACGGAATGCCACAAGTGCAAAGTGCCCGGCCACTTTGTCCCAATAACAATGGGGACAAACCCCGCCTTTCCAAAGCGTCCATACAATGAAGTCCCATGTCGTTGTGGGACAAATGGGCAAAACGGGACAAACGCCACAATCTCTCCCACACCAAGTTTGAATGGACGAGACGCCAATCACTGCTGGCCGTGTTATACGGAGGCCGTGGGGTATCCGGATGCGCACAACAATCGCGCAATGTCGTCTCCCAGACACTGCGCTGGAGGGGCAGCTTGGTTGTATCTGGACAGCTTGGTTGTATTTGGCTGAGAGAGACTGGCTTGCTTGGTACGAAGAAGGAGCTCTTGATGCAGAAGACCATGAGGCGCCAGTGGAAAAGAACAGCGGAATGGTTTAAAACATAGTAGCGACACCCCGCCATTGTATCGATGGTTTGCCTTGGTATCGTGCCCCTTGGCACAATGCGAGTTCTCGCGCCGCACAAGCGCAAAGAAAGGTATTATCAAAGGAATTATGGGTTGTATATACATATAGCATCGTCGTTGCATGGTCCATCTTGCCCTCGAAAGAGCCGTGCTTGACGCGTTCATTGTTTAAAACATACGTTTCAAACACGTTGAAGTTCCATCGTCGCGTCTCCCCAAGATCGTGCAAGCGCGAATGATGGAGCAAGCGCCGCGCCATGTCGTTGTCTTTGGCGAGCTCAGCCCCGAGCAAAAGAGAAAGTACTCCAAGTTCATCATCGACCACAACATCAAGGTACCTTGATGGACGAGCCGACTGCACACACACCGATGGCTAGTTTGCCAAGAATGCCGACGGCCTCTTCGTCGCGACCGTGCGTCTCGAGCAGCCGATCCCGCCGGCTACCGCCGCGCCACTTCCCAAGCACGTGTCGCTCCAAGAACGTCTCCGCAACATCCACGTCGTCACCGTGCCAGAGGCCCTTGGGCGGTATACCACGATGTGCAGCATGGTACGCTTCACATGGTATCGACTAAGACACTCGTCACATGCAAGCGTAGCTCGAGACGTCGCCCGAGATCGTCGCGTCCAAGCAACCGCTCTCCGATGTGAATTTGATCAAACTCTTGCATGAGATCTACGACGCGCGCGCGGCCGAGCCGCAGGGCGACGTCGACGACCCGTCGTTTTGCGCATTCGTTTCGCTCTACTTTCAGACGCGGTATGGACTGCCGTCGCTCGTGCACCAGCACGTTCTGGAGCTGCTCTTCAGTCTCTACGCCCACCGAGACGTACGCGATATCGCGATATCGAACGCGTGCGATGGATTGCAATGTACTGTACTAGGACTTGGAGGCCGAGCTCTTCTCGGGCTTTCTCGACGGCACGTACGACGATGACGCGCTGCGCTTCTTCCTCGACGCGCGTTCCAAGCTTGTGGTACGTCATTTGCTCCTCCTCCTATCTATCTATGTATCGATCTATCGATCTATCAACTTTACTCTGATTGATCTAGGCCATGACGACCCGCGACGCACTGGGCACAAAGCTCAAGTTGGTGCTTCGTATACATATATACATCTGCGGTAAACGACCTGGTAGTGTTGCCAAGGACAGCGTGTGGCTGTCCAAGGCCCAGTGCTTTGTGCTGGCGCATCACGTCTACGGCGCCCGCCTCGGCGCGCCGTACCTCACGGTGCTTCGTGCGACTGCAACTGCAATATGGGCAATATTGTCGTATAGTTTATGAACAAGATGAAAGAGTACGTGGCCAGCCAGCCGATGCCCCGCAGCCTGCACGAGACCATGGAGGTAATACTGTACTACGTGACAGAAATTATGCTCTGACATTGCTGGTATTAGATGAACGAGTTTCTGTCTTTGGCGCTGGAAACCCATCAAATGCTGCGCGCCAACGGCGCTCCCGACTACGTCCCCGAGGTAATACCTAGTCCGAAACAGGATGGTAACACGGATTGATGGGAGCATGCTAGATCAAAGAGAGTACGTTTAGCTACGTCATAACTGGGGTCGACGAGCGACTTGGTAGACCCGCCCACGTCACCGGCCGACGAGAAGCAGCGACTCTTCGCGCTGCTCCAGCGTGTGCGCCATCGTCAGGACCATGTACCTCGACAAGCTCATACGTTATTAGCATTGACGTTGCGACTTAGACGCTGACAGTCGAGGCCGATGGGTGGCTGCCCCACCAGGAACATGGCCAGCCGTACCCGCCGTCGCCCAAGTCGCCAACATGGAAATAGGGTCTTTCTTCCATTGTCGTACCCCTATCCCAGTGCTCTCTCTATACATGAATACTCTTCTTCATCAAGTTAGTTAGTCGAAAGGCCCATCGACTAGTCGACTACTCCGCTCGAGGCAGATCTTGCATCCTCCAAAGATTCGACAGGATTGCGATCTTTTCGTTGCGTTCTCATTGGCCAATGCCATTCGTTTTGGCCAATCCCATGGCACCACAAATGGGACGGCAGGGGATTGGCGGAAGAAGCACCTTTTTGGCCAATCACATGCGGCTGTCACGCGGCTGACTTCATTTGGCAAACGAACGATGGCGAAGGTCGCAGCACTGCTGCTGCTGGTGCTCGTGGGCGCGACGGCGACGGCGCCGACGACCAAGTGCTTTCCCGACGGCTTCTTCCTCGGCACGGCCACGGCCGCGTACCAGGTCGAAGGCGGCGTCAACGAGACCGGGCGAACGTCGAGCATCTGGGACGACTTTTGCCGCAGCCGCGACGACCTCCAATGCGCCAACGTCGCCGACGACATGCTCCATCGGTACGAGTCGGACATCAAGATCATGCAAGACATGGGCCTCACGTCGTTCCGGCTCTCGATCTCGTGGTCGCGCGTCATGACGTGGAGCCCCGCGACTAAGCGCATGGTCCGCAACAATGATGGCATTGCGTTCTACCATCGTCTCCTGGATGCTGTCATCCGCGCCAAGATGGCACCGATCGTGACTTTGTACCACTGGGACCTGCCGTCGGCGCTCTATGTGGGCAGCGGTGGCTGGCTCAGCCGCGACATCGTGCCGCACTTCAAGGAGTATGCGAACCTCATGTTTGACGAGTTTGGCCACAAGGTGCCCATCTGGACGACCTTTAACGAGCCGTGGTCCTTCTGCGTTGGTGGGTACGGCGAAGGCTACCACGCGCCGGGGCTCAGCCACTCGGACACAGCGTCGTACCTTGCGGCCCACCACGTCTTGCTCGCGCACGCCGCTGTTGTCCGGCTCTTCCACTCGCGCCGCCACCAGTTTTACCCAAGTGCGCAGATTGGCATCGTACTCAACTCGGACATGCCGTTCCCACTCGACCCGAACTCACCGGAGGACGTCGCGACGTCGGAGCGCAAGCTCCAGTTCTCGCTCGGCTGGTTCCTCTCGCCGATCGTCTATGGCGATTACCCCGACGTCATGAAGGCGTACGCTGGCGACCACCTTCCCGTCTTCTCGGACGACGAAAAGGCGCATCTTCAAGGCACGTACGACGTCTTTATGGTCAACTACTACTCGTCCAGCGTCGTCACCGACTGCAACTCGACACGGTACTACACCTGGCCTTTCCCACTTTGCCTTTTTATCGTCTGCATGTATTAGCTCGACCGTGACGTGCGACTCGCTCAAGCAAGGGTGGCAGCGCGACGCTGGCGTCGACAACGCCCGCGCGCCACCGGGCGCTCGACCGGGCAGTGTCAATGCCCAAGGCGACCCGCTCTGCGGCTGGTTCTCAGGTCGGCGCGATGCAGATCGTCTGGAGCTCATGGCGTCAACGTAGGCTACCCGGACGGATACCTGCCGCTCACGCGCTGGGTGCACGCACACAACACGTCGACGCCGATCTTGCTCACCGAGAACGGTTGGTGCGGCAATGCCACCATCGACAACCAAGACCAGCTGTGGTATTTCCAGACGCATCTGGACCGCGTCTGGCAAGGTGCTGCGCCAGACTACATTCGTTTTGCAGCCTCTCATAGGATTCTAGGGCTGCAAGAAGGCCTGCCGCTCATCGGGTATACAGCGTGGTCGTTCCTCGACAACTACGAGTGGGGCTCGTTTGAGCCGCGCTTTGGGCTCTTCTACGTCAACTACACGACCCAGACGGGCGGCAAGGAGAGCTACGACCCGGTGCCCAGTGACCTGGCGCGGATACCGCGTCCGGCTGCCACGTGGTACGATCTCGTCCCGATGGCTTCTATGATATAGGCGTCGTAGGTTTGCCAACGTTGCGCAGACCCGGTGCTTGATGCCGGATGCCACGACACGGCTCGATGCACAGCCGACCCAGGGCGTCCCCTCGTGGCTTCAGGGCGTCATCTACCTTGGGTACACGGCGCCCATGGCGATCGCCTTCGTGGCGATGCTGGCGTTCCACGGTCATTTGCCCCGCGTGTCGGCAGCGGTCGCCAAAGAAACCACGCCGCTCCTCCGCACCGCCTAGTCGATGAGTCCGAGTAGAGACGAGAGAGTGTACTAACGAGGCTGCTATTCGACTAACAAGGAAGCTGGCGCTACAGCCGAGGCAGGTGCAATTCGTCATCGATCGCCCTCCAGATCGAGTACACGGACTGCGCGCGGTCGTGGTCGGTCGTGGAGCTCGAGGCGGCCACCGTGTCGGTGACGCCGAGCCGCCATGCGTGCACGACGTCGGCCACCCGGGCGACTTCGGCGAGGCTCCGCTCGACGCTGACGCGGTACTTGTTGAGGGCCATGCGCTGCTGCCACGCGGTAAAGTCCTGCGAGATCAAGAGCGCGCCGGCGGTGAGCCCGTACATGGCAAAGAGAACACTGGCCGCCACGAGCACGTACAACACCAGCGTCGCATCGATCGCGGTGGATGGCGGCGCCTCGGTCGCATCCGCATCGTCGTTATCGTCGTCGTCATCAAACGGAGACGCTTCTTCGTCCGGCTGGCGTGCCATTGTTGTACTGGGTACTGGCGTCGGCGTTGTAAACAGCAATCCTGTTGCGGGCTTGGTCGGCCGCGGTGAGAGCACCTTGATCGACTGGTTGAGCGGCGAAATCTCCGAGAGCGCCGACTCGTTCAGGCTTCGCCGGCCGATGCGCTCTATCGGCCGCTTCTTCGCGTCGACTGGCTTGTCGTGGGTGTCGTCGGTGGTTGGGGTCGTCGCTCTGGTTGGGTTGCGGAAATGGGAGGTACTCGGCTGCGCACGCGAATCGCCGAGGCGCCGCGAGTCCTGCAGCCGCGACTGCCGCAAGGTCGAGCCAAGGCTGCTCGCGACGCTGGTCGTGAACGACGTCTGCTTGCGGTGCTGCGCATAACGCTTGGCCATCGACCGGCTGTCGGGCATGAGCGTCAGCATGTGCCGCATCGACTCTTCGTCGCACGCGAGGAACCACGCGTTGAACTGGTCCGGTTGCTTCTCCGAGACGACGTGGAAGGTGAGCGAAATGCTCTCGGTGAGCGACGGCGTCGCCAAGTGGATGAGCAGGATCTGCATGTACGTGATAAACTGCGTCGACGAGAGACCCGCGAGCAAGTCGGAGCTGCGCGCGACCTCGTAGAGCACCATGCCAAACCACGCATCGACCGACGCCGCGTCCGCTATCATCATGTCATGAGACGTACTGCAGTGAGATGAGGAGGAGGATGCTAGTACCGTGGACGAGCGAGTCGTAGCACTCGCTAAGCGCGTGCATGCTGTAGACCGAGAGGGCCGCGACGGCTTGCACTGCGACCTTGGTCATCGCGTCGTCCGAGAAGGCGATCGCACGCAGCCAATCGAGCAGGATCGGCGCCACATTGACGGGCCCGAGCGCGTCGTGCAGTCGTTCGACAAACGCGAACGCATGGGCGACGATCGCTTTGTCGGCGTCGACGAGAAAGCCGGCGAGGTGTTGCTACACATGATGCATGATGCACCGTCAAACTTGGCGGCCATGTACCGTGTGCGACCGCAGGTTGCCCATGATATCGTCCACGTCCCGACTCTCATCGAGGACGTGCTCGATCGACTGGATGAGCAACTCGAGCTGCAGCATGTCGTCGGCGGCGCTGTGGTCGGTCACGGGCGAGCGGTCCTCCTACATGTGCAGTCGCATGAGCGTTCTACCCCGGCGATAGGCGCATGTACATGGAGGTCGCCAGGCGCGTCCTGTATGGGCTCGGGGCGACCGCGGGGCATGGCAGAGTCCGTAGCCGATGGAATTTGACTTGCCGCTGCGCTGAGTTCTAATCCGGATACGTACCCCCGCCCGTGATTGTTGAAATATTATACCTTTGATTTGTATGGAATTAAATACTGTTTCTTTTAAACCGCCGGTAATCCGGATACGTCATTTCAAATTTGGCGCCGGCGCTACAATTGCCTAATACAGTACTGCATCCGTAGGGCTTGTCCCGCACCCTTCCAAGCACCGATGTAGTATGCTGCATCAATGGCCCATCTACTGGGGCATGGGCTTTCGAACCAGGAGGAGGTCAAGACTATTAATACCAGAAGCTATTAGTCTACCTCTCCTGGTTGGTGTCATTATGGTCTTCAATACTGGGATCATTTTTCTGGTGGGGCGGCAACGGCGACATCGTCCTGATGGAAAGTGACTTCAACGTCGCGACCACGCCAGCAACCTCAGCAGTGCCACCAGCGTGCATGCAAGTGCGAACGCTAAGGGTACTATTACTACACTAACTAGACTACTGCGCGCTATCTCTCGTCGCCGTCCAGCTGCAGCACGTCCTCGCACGTCTCGACCCACGAGTGCTGTTCCGTGAGGCTCTTCTCTGTCGTGTTGCTGCTACTGCTGTTGGGTCGACTTCGCTCCGAAATGGCTTGGTCGACGGCGTGGAATCGCGGATGCCGGCTTTGACTGCTGCTCTTGTCGCCGAGCGGCGCCGTCTGAGCGCGTGCAGTGGTGGCGAGCGCCTTGTCCCGCTCGACGATCGACGTGGCTTCGTGCATGGCGGAGCCGGCTGTCGTCATGGGCCGGTCGTCGCCGCGCTTGATCTTGGCGAACGCGGCGCTGAGCTGCGCGACGTCGTCTTCGAACGCAGCTTCCCACGCATCCCGCGTGGCCGCGACGAGCGAGGCTTCGTGGGCCTGGCGCTGCAGCAGCACTTGCTTGGCGTCCTGCACGTCGCGCAGCCGCTGGCGCTTGAGCGACCGCATCTGCTGCTTCCACGCCTCAATGCGCACCAGCTGCGCGTCGACTTGGCGCTGGGTCGCGTGCGCGGACCGGAGCTCGTCGTGGCGGTTGAGGTCGCGCTTGTACTGCTCTTGGCGGTGGATGCGCTTGTCGACGGACTGGATCGAGTTGCTTTTGGCGCGCGGGTTGACTTTCGGGCGTGCAAAAAAGCTCTGCAGCACAGGAACGACGTGCGTCGGGACAACGTCGGAGGCGCGTTTCGGGGACGATCGGCGCATGCCGTCGTTTTCATCGTCGTCGTTTTCATCGTCGTCGTCGTCGTCGTCGTCATGGGCAGCATACTCTTCAAACCCGAGGATGGGCGTTGGTACCATACGTGGTGGCCGGCGCTGCTTGGTGCTGTCGATGCTGGGCTTGATCTTGGGACTCGGCTGGCGCTTTGGACTGCAGTAGACCTTGATAAAGTCGAGGCTCTGCCCGAGCGAGCCCGCTTTCGCCAGTACGGGCTTGGCGTCCTCGCGGTCGTCGTGCTTGGACGGCGAGATGGCTATCCTTAGCTCGTCGCTGGGTAGTGGTAGTGCGTACTGCGGCGGGCGCTCGGCCCGTGGCTGGTCGGTGGGCGCCACTTTGATCTTGTTGAACATGGTCGACCCAATCTTGTTGACCCACGACGAGGCGGAGGCGGATGGCGACGCCGGCGGCGGGTCGCGCAGGAGGGGTGGTGCGCGGCGTGGTCCGTCGGGGTCGTCCAGGACGAGCGACTGGTAGCTGTCGCTGCCCGCGGAGCTACTTCCGTCCGAGGTCTGGACCCGGAGCGCGTACATCTCGCGTCTCGGAGGTTACTTGGCGCCTGCGGGCCACTATAAAAAGCGATACCGCAGTTACACCGTCTGGTTATAGCAGGGACAGTAATACCCTCTCGGGCTTCATGGTGAAAGGATATCGATCTTGAACCCAACATCTGCACCGTCGACGGCAGTGATGTGGTGGACATGCAGTGGTGCTACACCGACGCGTCAACTCGCTGGACGCGCGCACCCGTATCGGACAAGGACGAGGAGTTTTATTGATGATAAACGGCAGCGACAAAGAGAAATACCTTAGGTGTAGCGCGTCAGAAGGGCGCGGTGCGCGGCCGCATAGTACGATGTGTTGGTGTACACGACCTTTTGGTACTCGGGCGCGCAGCTGGGAAACTTGATGCTGGCGTCGGCGACATGGCCCGAGAAGAGCGCCTTCCCGGTTTTGATCGAGACGTAAACCGAGAGCGCGAGGGAGACGAGGATGCAAACGACGGCAAACGCCTTCTCGGGCAGGCGCAGCGTCGGGCCAAAGGTCTTGAGGTAGAAGGTAATGGGCAAAATCATGCAGCACATGGCCGTCGACGACGCGCCGACAAAGTCCAAGAGGTCGCCAAAGTGGTCCTTGAAGGCAATCGCGACGACGATGCAGATGGTGATCATGACAATGCGGACGAGCGCCGCGTTGCGGTACGCGCCTGGCGCCTTGTACGCGTCGGCGCAGTCGTGGTCGTCGTTGGCCTCGAGCATGCCGTCGACTTTCGGGTCCAAGTTGCGGTAGCTCTCGCCAACAACGGCGACGCTATTGGGTGCGTCGGCCAATGCAAACTGCTCCTTGTGCAATCCGAGCACGAGGCGTTCGGCGATGAAGAAGGCGGGGAACATGACGACCGAGAACGCGATCGTAATGTGCATCTGCATGGCGAGGAACGTCAGAATGACGCCGCCCCGGGACGCTTGGAACCCAAGGGACGAGCCAGCGACGGCGAAGAGGAGGTTGCCGGGGATCTGGCACCCGACGGTCGAGACACCGCTGATCGAGACCGCGAGAAAGCAGCACGAGACAAGGACGAGCGTCACAACAATGATCCGCGGCATGCGCGTCGGATCCGAGTGCTCGCGCTGGAGCGTCGGGATGACGATGCCGGCACCGTACGCTAATGCCAAGTTGCCGAAGACCGTCGTGATCGAATCAAAACTCAACGCGGGCGACGGCGGCGCGACGTTGGCAATGTTGTTGGTGTTCATGTTGGTGACGAGGAGGTAGAGCGCGACCGTGTCGGCAAAGATCGTGCCGAGGCAGCCGGCCGCCGCCATGCCCGCGCCCTCCTTCATCGTCGGGACGAGGCAGACTGGGAGGACGGTGAGGCCCATGACGATGATCCACGTCTCGGCCGAGTACGAGTCGGGGAAGAGCACCGTGAGGAGCGTCCCGCCGAGCACCAAGAAGACGATCGGTACCATCGTGCACACGGCCATTTGCGAAAGCACGGTCGCCCAGCGGCCAAAGCCGCCCATGCACCAATGGCCAATGTCACCAAACGTCTTGACGTGCTTGGGCGCGACGAGCATGACCTTGGAGATGCACCACGTCGCGTACACGTTGACGCTGGCCATGAAGAGCAGCGCGACGGTGGCCCAGAGGTACCCGGCGCGCGCATAGTTGCCCGGCATCCCGAGCGTGCCAATGCCGTAGACGCAGCAAAAGAGGGAAAAGCAGATGCGGAGGTCCTCGCCCGTTAAAAAGACCATTCTGGTAGTGCGAGTAAAAGGAAGAATGACCCATTGGGGCAGCCTTGCTCAAGTGGGTATGATCGATCGGCAACGTCAATCGACGCGCCACTTTGCCGTTTGCACCACATGGTGCCACGTCATCCGGATCCATGTGCACCGGATGTCGTGGCAACAAGATGATTCGAGTACTACAGCGCTGATCTCTGTAGCCACATTAAGCATCGACACCATCGATCCCCTTTACAAAGCCTGCGCTGATGCGGTGTATTCCTACGTGCGGTCGTGCCTATCACCCTCTTATGTACACGGTCAAGACAAAAGCAGGCTGTGTCAACGCACAGTCCATGTTGTCGGGCTGTCTTTCGCGGACTGGATCTTGTTCCCTTCTGACATAGCTTGGGATTTGTATGCACAAAGAGGTAGTAACCAGCCAAGGGAAATGATACCCAGCTGACGGAATTGATACAGCGCAAAAGGACGTGGCGTCAAGATCTCATCGAACGTTCTCCGCGACGTCATCGACATGAGGGGCCCGAAACGAAAAGAACCGACGATCAATTTGGTTGTGCGGTCGTTCGGTATGCAAGAGGACACGACCGACGTCCTCTCGGATGGTGGACATCAAATTCTCCTGCAAGTTCGTCCTCGGATCATCGTAGCAGCCTCTCTATTCGTTGAAGACGAAAGAGTTTAACCCTCTCAGTGCAGTGTTCCTGTGCAGCAGCGTTCGATGTTGACATTCGTAAAACGCAGCGCAATACATGACGCGCCGTGCGGCAACCGCTCCAAAATTGTCCAGCGCTGGCTCTTTGAAGCGAGTAGTACGTGGCAGCCTCTCGTGCGAGCACGGTGATCCTCAAGGCGTTGCTCGAAGAATTCAATGAGATTGTTTCGACAATTATCCGATAGTAGGTTATAGCAAGCTCGAACGCCATACATTTTGTCTAAAACGCCACTAAATGAACTCTTCTTCCGTCTAACCGCAGGAAAGCACAGGAAAAGTGGTCTCGAACCGACCTACTAGTATCTACACACCCTCCAACACGAGGCTTCGATCCCCACTACGCAAATTAGACCACTAGGACGAGTCGACAACAGTCCTCCATCGATAAAAAGGGCTTGGACTAACTAACGATCGAGCGGACAACAACTCGACCCGACGTTCATCACAACTCTTCATTTCCTAAAATTGTTCTGCGAGCCTTCTATTGAACAAGAAAATGTGTACCGACAAGGTAGCTTGGAATTTGTCATCATGGCTGCCGAATCAGCAGTTGCAACGACGACAGCATGGGCGCGACTATGTGTTGGCATCCGGTTTTGTCTGTAGCATGGTGCGGAGGTCGGCAAGGGCGCCTTGAATATGGTCGATCTGTGCCTGACGACGAGGCGTGAGCGGCGCCAACTGGGCTCGCTTCGCCGGCTCCTGCACTAGCTCGTTCACGCTGACCTCGAGCGCGTCGAGCATCTTTGCAACGGTAACGCTCTGGTCTTCAGCCTCCGTTGGCGCCGTCATGGTACGGTGCGGCTCGTCATCACCGTCGTTGTCGAGAATCGGCGGTAACTTGACTTGGGACGGGTCAGCGAGGACCGATGCCGGCGTCGGGTCGTCCTCGAGCCATTTGTCGTTGCAGACAAGCTCCACTTGAAGGAACCGCTCGCCGTCCGACGTGTCCATCGCGTGTTTGGGTTGCTTGAGCTCGGCTAGCATCTGAACGAGGCTTTGGCGACGTGGCCGCACGGGCGCCGGCTCCATCGCGATGGCTTTCACCAATTCGACGGCGTATTTTTTCGATTCTCGCGCACTTGGCGCGCGTTCAGTGTTTGCTCCATGCTGCACATGATGTTGACGCGCTCGGCGTACCAGCGCTGCTCCGAGGCTTTGAGAATATTGTCGTACGTGTTGCCCATCCTACGCGTCTGTCGGCATCGGAGCAGACAATATTGTCGTACATGGCGATGAGCAGGTTGAGGAGCACGATGACGACAACGACGAGGTACGTGACAATGAGGCACTGCGCGACGAATGAGAGGTCCGAGGCTTCGTACACTGCGTAGTCGAACGTGTTGCAAAACGCCGCGAGAAGTAATGACTTGGTGCGCGTCACGAGATGCGCAAAGCCGTTGCGGTCGTCGAGGATCACGTAGAGATTCATGCTCACACCGAGCAGAATCCACACGTACACGGCTGCGAACCGGAAAAAGTCCTGACTTTTTGTTTGGAACGTGTTGGTAGTATACTATATGCACACCTGTGTGAGCATGCGCAAGAGCATCACGACAAACGGCCCCGTGCACCGAAAGCCCATCATGAAGAAGAACATGTAGAGGAATCTACACCATGGCGGTGGTGAGGTCATGCGAAAAGAGTTCAAAAATACACGAAAATACACGAAAATACACGAAAATACACGAAAATAATACGAAAAATACACCAGCATTGCACAAGACCGTACTGGTTGAGGCACGCGAACCCGACAAAGAGGTCTTCGATTTCAAAAGCACCCGCGACGCGGCAAACGACGGCGCACGTAATGGCAATGCCAAACGTTAAACAGAGGATGTTGTCGAGCTTGGCAGCGCCGGTTTCGTTGAGGTAGTCTTGAATGCCCCCCGCGAGGCGTCGGATCTCAATGGCAAACTCGTAGAGCGCGACGAGCACGACACCCAATTCCAAGATAATATGGCAGACTGTCTGGGCACCATTCTGGGCCATGGCCGCCGTCACGCTGCGGCGGTAGTGGGGTGTGAGCAGCGTCGAGATGCCGATCCAAATCAAGAAGCAGACGTGGCGCGCACACGCCCAAAAAACATGGGGCACCCGACAAACTTCCATTTCTTGTCGAGGAGCGTCTTGACTTCGTAAATCCCCAGCATGTTGAGGCGGGCGTGGAGTATTTTGTGGCGCAAGTGGGGTGGCATGCATGCCGTGAGGTCGGCCGACGAGCAGAGACACTCGAGCGCCGTCTTGATGCGGCTCTGCGTGTAGCATTTTTCCTCGAGCTCCTGGAGCGGCAGCATCTTGGCCGTGACGGGTCCGTAAACCCACGCGATCGTCGTCGTTGCACGGAGCATGTGCTCAAACATCTCTCGCCGACCGAGCGCTGCGGCCAGCGCCAGCGGCGTCAGCCCTTCGTGGTTTGGGCGGCGTAGGAACCGGACAAAGACATCGGCAATGTCGCCTTGCGCTGTCTTGAGAAAGGCTGCGAGCGACGGCAAATGCGCGTCGTCCGGCGGCCACAAGCGGCGAATCGCGCGCGCGATCGCGAAGTCAAACACGTCTGGCGCGTTGTGGACGACTGCGAGGTGGAGGGCGTTGTTGCCGTACGAATCGGCCATAAAAATGGTCGTTTTGTGCGCTATTGCATTTGAAACGTGTACATCATGTCATTGTACATGCAACGAGGCGGAAAATACCTTTCGAGTCCTGCGGCTGGGCATGGGCAACCTCGAGGATGCACGTGGCTGCGACGAGCTGCCGCGACGCAAGCGCGAAGAGCAAGGGCGTGCCGCCGAAATAGCACGGCTTGCTCGGGGCGAAGAAATCCCCGGTTGTCTCGGCGTCCTACGCACGTACTTAGTAGATAGCATCTTACGCACTAACGATACCAGAAGGTCGGGCACGGTGGTCGCGAGCCACTTGATGAGAGCAAGGTTGCGCTGGACGATCGCAATGTGCAAGATGTTTTCGCCTTGGTACGGAGACGGGTCGTTCACCGAGCTGCCTTCGTACCTAGGATTCTCGTCATGCATCTCAGTTTGCAATAAGAAAAGGGGTACACGGCGGTCGCGCGCGGCAGGTCGGCCAGCACGAGCGTTTGGCCGAGCTCGACGTGCTGGTACAGAAACGCAATGTGCAGCGGCGTCGCGCCGACCGTGTCGCGGCGGTGGTAGTCGTCAGGGCACGCGCGCAACTGCGCGAGCGCCCGCGAGATGTTGTTGCTCTTGACCGCGGCAAAGATCTCGACCTCTTCGAGGATCTTTTGCTGCTGCGCCACCACGTCGCCCGGTGCGACCATGGCCTTGCGCGTCCTGCTGATGAGCGCCTTGGACGTGGCTCGCATCTTGCTCTCACGAGTGCGAACGGTCGCACAATCTTCGAACGTCGCGCACCCTACCCCTTCTAGGCTGCTTTTGCCCACCAGAATCGTCCTGCATGGCACGCACTGGATGACAGAAGGCAGTGTTGAGATTGTGAATCCAACTCCTATCTATCTATCTATCTATCTATCTATCTATCTATCTATCTATCTATCTATCTATCTATCTATCTATCTATCTATCTATCTATCTATCTATCTATCTATCTATCTATCTATCTATCGACACCTTGTCACGTGCACCACGAGGTAAATTGTCAATGCGATGACGTCCCAGAACGGTTCGCAACGAGCCGTGCGATTGTAAAATGAACGCAATGCAGCCACTGTTAAGTCGTCTGGAGTTTGTAGGCAGCGAAAATCCCGACGAGAAGCAACAACGCGCCGTTGTAGAATGGCATGTACGTCTCGGCTCGTGGGAGTTCGCCGGCGACAAAGGCATACGCGAGCGCCACGGCCGCCAAAAGACAAGCGGTAACAACGGAAACTCGGCGTCGTCACTCCACTCGCTGCCCTTCTCGGCACTCTCGCGCGTGACGAGCCCTTCGTACTCCTACACCAGATAGATAGATAGATAGATAGATAGATAGATAGATAGATAGATAGATAGATAGATAGATAGATAGATAGATAGATAGATAGATAGATAGATAGATAGATAGATAGATGAGAGATTGATCGGTACCCGCCACGCCCAGCGCTCGGTGGTGCGCGACGGATGGTGGATGATCTCGTCCATCAAGGCGGGATAGTCTTGCACCAGCTGCAGAAACGACGGCGCGCCCGCAAGCACGCGGAGGTTCTCCAAGACAAAGATCACCGCTGCCTAGCCGAGTACCAATCGTCTACCGCCGTCATGAGTTGGTTTTGTACCTCGCGGAGGACGGGTGCGGTCACCATATCAGCGGTGACGAGCACATCAATGCAGTTTTCAAGCGTCACGACGAGCCGCGCCTCGGAGAGCGCTGCCAGAACATTCTGCATCCCAACTCCAACACCACCCAGACGTGTACCTTTGAGTCGGGCGATGCCAAGGCGGTCGGCGGCAACGAGGTCGTCCAAAATAACATCGTCGGATGCGTCCGGCGGTACAATGCCCGAGTAGACAAACTCGAGGACCCGGCGTAAGGTTGGGAAGCGCATGTCCACGGACAGCTCCTAGCCACAGACGCCGCGTGTGAACAAAAGCCGTCTTTTCTTGCTATACGGCAAGGTTCGCGTCGCGCAAGGACGACGTCAAGAGCCCTCGAAAGTAATCGCTTCGCGCCGCCAAGATACACTTGTGGGCGTAAATGCGCTCGCCGTCAGCGACCAGGACGACGTCGGACCACACAAAACTACCGAGAGCCCCGACAAAGTCGGTCGCGTACGAGCTCACAGCCTAGACAAATATCGTGAGCAAAGCAAGCACGGAGCAAGACCTAGATGCGTACAATGCACGGCGCCATCTCCACCACGTACGGCTGACAGAGGCTCGCGAGATGCGGCAGCTGTAGTCTAGACCATGGCATGAGAAACCGAAGCGTGATATACGGCGGTACATTCTCGCAGCAGCGAGCAAGTCCCTTGGGAGGGAGGACGCCGGGTCGAGGCGCGTCAAAAGAGCGTCCGTGTAGAGGTACTCGAGCACGAGGAGGCACACGTCGTGCCTACGCCGTCCCACGATTTTACTTTGGAAAAAATGGCATTCAAGAGACACACCGCAAATCGTAGAGGACGAGCTCCATGCGATGGTTCGTGGCTTCGCGCGCTTGGCGTTCGTCGACCAGTCGTGCGCGCAGCACCTCGCAGCGCGTCGCGAGCACCTGCCATACCTCAAGTAAGAAACGCGAGGTACTCAGTAGGAAAAATCTACGAGCTGGTGGGCCGCGATGCGCCGACCGGACACGAGCAAAACGACGTCGCCGGCGTCGTCCATCGTCTTGCACTGGAGCCAGAGACGCGCCATGTCTTGGGCGACGAACGAGAGGCCCGAGAGAAGCACCGACCCGCTGCACAAAATACCATGTTCAAAACGATTGGCCGCAGCGAGGATCGATGGATGTACCTGCCACCGCATGCGATGGCTTCGATCGTGCCCCACTTGGCTTCGAGTTTTGGCACCGCCGACGCTATGTACTTTGTGATGACGACACACATAGTATGCAAGAGGTCAACTACCAAACTGCCAGGTGTAGACGTCGCCCGTGTGCGTACGCGCGTGGTAGTGCCGATCACCCGCGGCCACGTCCACAATAGTCGGCGGCAGCTGGAGCGTCTGCTGGGGATATAGCCACGGCCACGCCACGAGGTCTGACCTGCATACAAACGCTTGTCCTCGAGTAGTCAAAGAAACGAGGCGTACCGAAGACCATTTTCCATCACGAGGGACGGGAGACGGTGGCCACACGTGCCAGCGCCCCATGTCCACACGTGTCCGTGGCCGTCGACGGCGATCGAGAGCATGTCGCCGCACGCGATCGCTGTGACACCCAACGTCGCGCCGCCCTACCCACTTGCCATTCAACAAACGCCATCCACGTGCGGAAAGGTCTACGAGCGACGACGTCTCGGTCGAAATGGCGACGGACTGCGGCACACACTGGTCGTGGCAGTGCCCGAGCCCGAGTTGGCCGTGCACATTCCGCCCCCACGCGTAGAGCTGTCCGTTGCTCGCAATGGCCATCGCGTGGGCTTGACCGCACGCAATCTGAGCATCAACACTATTGACACAATGTACAATATGTGCTCGAGCGCACCTCGGTGACGACAACGTCGGCCAAGTCGGTGACGCGACAAGGCGACAGTTGATACTGCTGGAAAATGGGTTTGTTGGCAAGCGTCTTTCGTCCGAGTGCAGGCGGCGTCGGGCCGAGCCCTACAAGGACTTATGTGTAGCCACGTGGCGCGGCGACGGCGTGCACCGAGACGGCCATGGAGCCATTTCCCCCACGAAAACACTTGCCCCGTCTCGGTCAGCGCGAGGCTAAAGCCAGCACCGGCCGCCACACGCGTACAAGCCACCTACACCATTCATATGATCATGGTGATTGGTTGGGATGCCATATTGGATGCGTAATACGTCGAGGGACGCGATGCGTGTCGGCAGGTCGCTGCGGTGCCCTTGCTTGCTGAGCGTCCCGGAGGCCGTGCGGGCGCCCCACGAATAGACCTACAAAACCTGCTGCACTGCGTCGCTCGCAGCATAGCACGTACAGCGCCGGTCGTCGTCACCGCCAACGAGTGGGCTGCGTGCGCGGCCGCCGGGTCGCTGGCGGCGGCGATGCGCGCAACCAACACCATCGCCTCGGGCTCTACTGCCGCCATGAGCTACGAAAGAAGGCGGCGGGAGTACGCTCGAAGAAGCTCTCGATCGGCGCGGGATGGTGCAAATCGGCGAACGACCCGTGTCCAAGCGCGCCGTCGACGCCTTTCCCCATCGAATAGAGAAGACCCACGTCGCTCCTAAAGAGCTACCACGTATGCGTTGACGTGCAATAAGTGTCGTTGCAACGAGCCTACCGCGTGGACATGACTGCACGCGGACTCGACGATGCGGGCGCGAAGCAGCGGCTACAAGCACATCTCCCTTTCCATCGGTACGACGACGACAGTCGTACGGTCGCATCAAACAGAAGCTGCACACGGGAGCTCGCATCGGCCACGTCGGGCTGCCACGTCACGGTGACCGTGTCGGGCGTCGCGCGTTGGTTCCTGCAAAAAATATGCGCGATGGGGATTCTATCCAGTGCAGGCGTACGCAATAACGCTGCGCAGAGAGGACGCTGTCGTCTGCACTTGTGGCGGCGCGGGCTTGGCGTACGGTAGCGTCACGAAGAGGTTGTGCAGCCCTGTTGCCATGAGCTTCCCTCCATGATCCAGTGGATTGTACTACCAGCATCGGGCTGCTGCGGATTCACGAGGTCGCATTCCAAGTAGACAGGAATCGCAGGACCTTGTGCGGCGCCAATGCGCGCACGCAAGATGCCTTCGACAGAGACGCGGAGACGAAAGCCCCACACGTGGTTGGCCAGCGACACCTCTGCGCGCACCTGCGCATGCGATCGCTGCCTGAGGAAGCACGTCAACATCACCACGTACGCGTGCAATAAGGAGGCCCGTTCGCCACACGATGCCGGGCAGCGACGTCGGAAAGCATGTGGCGCCACCGAGCGCGCAGTACGCTTCGAGGTCGTGCCCCAGGGCGACGAGACGCGAGACAAGGATCGTTACCGTCGTCGGCGACAGCGTGCAATCAACGGCATGGAGCAGAGCAGAGACCTTCTCGAGGAAGAGCGTCGTCGACGTCTTGGGCAGTGGCGTGTCGTTGATTCGGTACACGACCTTGTCGCTGACGGCGTCGGTCGTTGCCGATGGCGCGGACAGTGGCGCGACCGGGAAGCGCAGGCCGTCGGCGTGTTGCTGCAGTGCAGCGTCCATGGCCTACGCCAGCCAGCGATGCGCGTCGATGCATTCTTGCACGGCGGCGTACCTCGAAGAAGGCCGCCGCGTCGTCCGTGGGAGCCACTGCAGGCAGCACAACGTCTTCCTTGGGGTGCAAATCGACAGCGTCGTCGAGCGCGTGCTCGGCGCTGTTTAGCGCCTGGATCATGCAGTCGAGGCGCTTGGCCGACGCCACCATGTCCTTGATGACGCCCTCGGTCTCGAGCAGGAGGCCGTCCATCGTGCAGTGGATCTTTCGCCGCTTTGGATTGGCTCCATTTTGTTGTGTTTTCACCAATCGGCTGAGCGTATACAATCCCACAGGACCTCTGGCTTTCGATATTCAGCAGGTGCTTGCTCATGCGAGCGCTTTTTAACGCTTTTAAGCAATAGAAAATAGAAAGACGTCGTGGACGCACCAATCAGCGTGCGACGCAACGGGATATTATTTGACGAACACGAAGATGGCAGACGCCGGCGGTCCCTACATGGCCTTCCCCATCGCGCCGCGCCAGAACGTCTGTGCGCTCGTGACGGCCGCGCCGCTCCAGGTGGCCTCGCGCCTCTTCGGCTGCTTCGGGCTCAAGCTGCCCGGCGCCGCCGAGGCCATCGTCCTGCAGAGCGGTCGCTCGTACGTATCTTGCGGCGAAGCGTCTCCTCATGGCGTGGCGTACTAGCGTCGTGATCGACCACGAGATTGCCGAAGGCGGCTTCTCGTACGTCTACCAAGTCCATGACACGGAGACGCTGGAGCGGCTCGCGATGAAGAAGATCATGTGCCAGTCGACCGAGCAGCGCCATGGCGTTGTGCACGAGATGGGGTACAGCGTGCGTCTCCGGTTCTTGTACCAGCGTTGTGTAGCGTCCACAAGAAGTGTCGCCACAAGCACTTGATGCCGCTTGTGGACTACACGGTGACGCACTCGCCGCTGCCCGACCAAAGCACGTACTATCTCCTCTTCCCGCTTGTCGAGGTAGGTCCATCTTGTGGCCACCGCTTCGACCCTGTGCATAGAATGGCTCGTTGCGGCAGTACATCGACTCGTACCGCGCGTACGCGGCTGCTCACGAACGCGTGTCGCTCATGTGTGGGCTAGGCGGCAAGCCTACATGCCCGAGCGGGCGCTCCTCGACATCTTTACCAAGGTCGCCACTGCCGTCTTGTTTCTGCACAGCCAGGAGCCGGCGCTCGTCCATCGCGACATCAAGGTTCATCATCTTACGTTCTTATTCTTGACGTCATTGGCGTCGTACAGCCGGAAAACGTGCTTTTGAACCACGACCTGGAGCCGCTTTTGACCGACTTTGGCTCGATTGTGGAAGGCGACATCAAGATCTCGACCCGCGGTGACGCGCTCAAAGCTCAAGAGACAGCGTCGATCCACAGGTAGGTCATAGTGGATGCCTCAGTATTCGCGTCCTGATGACCCTCGACGTAGCTCCATGGCCTATCGCGCTCCAGGTCGACCTCGTCCCATTCGTGCGGCTTGCAACATGCGAATGGTTAGAGCTCTACGATGTGGCCACGGGTGCCGTCCTGACGAGCCGCACCGACGGTACCTACATAGTTTTGCTCTATTGGTTCTACAGGGCGATGTGTGCCTAGTCTGGGCCATGGGCTGCTTGCTGTACGCCATGGCGTTTGGCTACTCGCCGTTCGAGTGCTCGATCTCGGACGCTGGCCAAGTACACAACCTCGTCAAACCCTTGGATCCCGATGGGCGCATGTAGATCAAAGTCATTGAAGTCACCTACCTTGGCGTGCTGGGGCGGTCAAGTTTCCGTCGCAGTCCATCTACTCGCCGCTGGTGATGGAGCTCATCACGTACGACTTTGCTAGGAAATGAACAAAATGTGGAACTCGATGATTAGGTGGATGCTCACGATCGATCCGACGGAGCGGCCGAGCATGCAAGACGTACTCGCACGGCTCGAGCGCGCGCCGTGAGCGCCACGTCCGCGCGACGCACAAGTCTGTAATTGCTCGTTTTGATCGCATATATCATTCTCCTCTTGATACTGCAGTCGATCTCTGCCACTGCCATCGACTCGGAGCCACGTCTCCAGCGGTACACTCCGGGCAAGACGTTTGCTGGTTAGCCAGTGCTGGCGACCACCGAGTTGCTGCCTGGGCTTCCTCTTGAAACCTTGAAACGTACCCCTAGAAGCACCAACTGGCGGGTGCAATGTTGTCACTCATACGACGGGCCGTTCGCTTGTTTGGCCAAGAATCGACTGGGTGACCATCCGAAGCTCCTCGCCATGTGGGCCGGAAACGAATCTGCTGATGTTATTCCGAGTCCGTCGTGATCGCTTTCTTCGACCCTGCAGGCATGCACGTCAGTACCGACGAGGTATTGACGAGTTTGGGTGTGGCCCTTGCACTGCAGCCGAACAAGGACGACATAAAAGGCCAGGTTTCTCTTACGACGAATTGAGCAACATTTTAAAGTCTTTTTGACGATGGATGGATACCATCGTGTACAAAGTTGGTAGACGAAGAGACAGCACTAAATCGGACGCACACTTGAACGACGCCAACCGCCGCTGCCTTTACGCTGTGAACCGCACTTGGAGTTCGCGCCGGAGGATCTTGCCGGACGCCGATTTGGGTACAGCGTCAATGAACTGCACTTGACGGATCTTCTTGAAGGGCGCGACGCGGCTGTTGGTATACTCCATGATTTCTAGACCAAAAGACATGTGGCAGAGCTTTCAACCCCATGTTGTACTCTACCTTCGGCCGTCACGTTGTGGCCAGGCTTTAGCACGACGCACGCCAGCGGCTCTTCCTCCTTGTCGGCGTTGTAGCCGCGGATGCAGCCCACGTCGTCGACCGACGGATGCGACAAGATGACATCTTCGAGCTCGGCCGGTGCAATCTACGCCGATATGTATCAATATATCAAGACCAAGCATCGTTTTTTCGTCAACCTGGTGGCCCTTGTACTTGATGAGTTCCTTGAGGCGGTCGACGATAAACACGTGGTGGTCGTCGTCCACATAGCCCAAGTCGCCCGTCTTGACAAACCCGCAGTCGGTCATCGTGGCCTACGAAGACCGTTCTTTGTATCAAAGTAGATAGTTCCGATCCATCAACTACCTTGGTCGCATCGTCGTTGTTGAGGTAACCGAGCATCGCTTGAGGGCCGCGGTACCAGAGCTCACCGACTTGATGGGTGTCGAGGTCGTGGCCCTTCTCGGGGCACACAACGCGGAGCTCCGTGTTGTGGACAAGGACACCGCTCGAGCCCTATCCCGCGACATCAACAACCCTAGCCCTTTCATCACTTTTTCAATCAGGACGTACAGGCTTGACGTTGTCGTCCATCGAGTAGTTGACGACAGGCGAGAGCTCGGTCATGCCGTACGCTTGCTTCATTACGAGGCCAAGACGGTCCGTGATGGCATCCTGGAGCTCTTGGCCCATGGGCGCCGCGCCAGAGATGAGGGCTTTGGTCGCCGAGAGGTCGTACTCGTCGACGAGCGGGTGCTTGGCGAGGAAGGCTGCGATCGGCGGCACAATGTGCGCCTTCTCAATCTACCTTTACTGCATGAGACGTCGAAGATGAAGACAAAGGGTCCACCTTGTAGCGCTGCATGGCGGCGAGGAACGTGTGCGGTTCAAACTTGGGCAAGACGACTTGGGCGATGCCTTGGAAGAGAAACATGTTGAGGAGCATGCCGCCGTAGATGTGGTAATATGGCAGCATCGCGAGTGCGTGCGGCCCCATGCGCTCGGCGTACGTCGCCTGGAGCGGGTTGACCGTCATGTTCCAGAACGATAGCTTGACGCCCTTGGGTGGGCCGGTCGTGCCGCTCGAGAAGGGCAAGTAGCTCACGTCTTCGAGGAGGTTGAGCGTCGGCTTGGGGTACGTGCCCGGCCGCGCGCTCGGCGAGAGCAGGTTGCTACGAGCGTGCTCGGTCTTTTGTGTGGTTCATGTTCAAGTACCTAAAAGGCTCGAAATCGGTGGACGGGCCAATGCAAAACTGGCGGTGGGCCGCGACCGGGGCGAGTGCGATCGCTTCCTTCGCCGCCGCTTGAACCGCGTGGTGTGTGATGACGAGCTTGACCTACAGTATGGCGGTGGTGCACAACGCGTCGTACGGTATCATGAGCGTACGTTGGCCGCTTTCATTTGCACGGCGAGTTCGTCGCCGCGAAAGAGAGGCGGCGCTGGCGACAAGACAGCACCAAGCGCCGTCACCGCTACGCAGTACGCATGAGTCGGACAAGAACGACGCGCGTGTACCTTGCGCGATCAAAGGGTACTCGATGCAGTTGACGGCGTTGGTCAAGACGACGTCGCCTTGGCCAATGCCCCGCTCCGAGAGCGACGTTGCAACCTTCTCGACGTTGGCGGCGAGCTCGCCGTACGTCATGGTCTCGTGCGTGACGCCGCAAATGACCGCGGGCTTGTGCATCTGGTCGGGCGTCGCCGAGGACGCTTGGATGAGCTCCCACGTCGTCTTGAGCGGAAAATCGATCGCTGGCAAGGGCGAGGCAAAGATGCGCTGGGCGGCGGTCGATGCGCGGCGCGAGGTGAGGCGGCGGAGCAGCATGGGGCAAGGTTGCGCGGACGAGAAATCAGCGACTGAGATCTGAGATGCGCTCGCCGCTCGAAAAGATATGCGTCTGATTGGCTGAAAAATCGAAAGTGCAACTTCAACTTGGACCGAGCGACGATTTGCTGTTGACGAAGCAGTCAAGAAGGGTCGATGCATCTGGTCGCTCGCAGCGTGTCAGGAGGTCGAGCCACATGGATACGACCCGCACGAGACGCTGCGGACCCATGGACGCTGCCATGCGCCTCCTTCAAGTTTTTCTATTGTGCCGGTGGAGCACGGACGCTGTCCATGCCAGTCGTGTTGTCGCCGCCGCCGATCTGCGGCTGCACCAGATGCATGATGCTACGATGGCCTCGTGTAGCGCAATCCATGTGGTTGACATAAGCCTACCCAAGCAAGCACAAAGGACGTGCAGGAGAATCAGTGGTCGGTCGGCGGCGTTGCGGGATACCTGGTCAGAACACGGGATGCGCTTGGTAGAGTATACATGCTTGCCGTCGCCTTGTAGGATGGTCCATGAGCTGGTCCCGCACTAGGGTCGCCGTGCCTGCGTGTGCCCCTTGCCGCCCATGGTCCAGCATCACATGGTCGTTCCGATCGTGTTGGCGTGTCCGGGCTCCCGACGTCTCGAAGGAAGTGGCTTGCGTGTGTTGGTTGATGATATGTGCAGTCTCAGTCAATAGCACGACGACGACACGGGTTTTCACCTCTGCGATAGTTTAATATTCCTACAACGGTGAACGCGTAGTATGCATCAATATTGTCATCTGGACGCATGACGCTTTCGATGGCAAGGCGGTCGAAACCACACACAAACGACGCTTCGTATTCAAGAGAGTGACTGTGAGACTTAGCCGAACGCAGCACCAAACTTGGCTTGGAGCTCGCGCCGAATGATCTTGCCGGACGGGCTCTTGGGGATCATCTCCACAAAGACGACCTCGCGCACCTTCTTGAAGGGTGCGACGCGCTCGGCCACGTACGCCATGAGCTCTACGCATGTCTTGTGGTGAGCACATGCGATCCATACGAATAGGTCGACCGTCCGCCGTCAGCGTCTCGTTGGGCTGCACCACAACGCACGCGCGCGGGATTTCTTCGCCCGCGTCGTCACGCCTACGAGCGTCGTTTTCGTTGAGCCTCGAGGATTGGCGTTAACAGCATCGGCATGTACCCGCGAATGCAGCCCACGTCGGCGACCTTGGGGTGGGACATGACCACGTCTTCAAGCTCGGCCGGTGCAATCTACACGCGCCATCACTAAGATCTGATATACATGGAATCCGTAGGGATATAATAATACCTGATGGCCCTTGTACTTGATGAGCTCCTTGAGACGGTCGACGACAAAAATGTGCCCGTCCTTGTCCACAAACCCAATGTCGCCCGTCTTGACAAACCCGTCGTCGGTAAGCGTCGCCTGCACTTGAGCCCTCCATCTTTGGTTCAAACTATCAACTTGATACATACCGCGGTGGCGGCATCGTTGTTGAGGTAGCCAAGCATCGTCTGCGGACCGCGGTACCAAAGCTCGCCCGGCACGTCAATATCGTTGTCCGTGCCATGGACGGGACACACGACGCGGAGCTCCGTGTTGGGCAAGAGCGGGCCGACCGAGCCCTATCAATCGATCGTTTGAATCGCGATTGTACACATCGAGAGAGATTCTGTCGTCGTACGTATTTGGCCTGGCCGTCCATGGGAAGGGCGCCGACAGGCGAGAGCTCGGTCATGCCAAAGCCCTGCTTGATCTTCATGCCAAGGCGCGCTTCCAGCTGCTGTTCGAGCTCTTCGCCCATGGGCGCGGCGCCAGAGATGACGTGCTTGGTCGCCGAGAGGTCGTACTGGTCGACCATCGGGTGCTTGGCGAGAAAGGCCACAAGCGGCGGCACGAGGTGCGCCTTCTCGACCTAGTCAAGCGACGACGTCCAGCAGGTAGAAGAAGAAGGAAGAGGGACGCACCTTGTAGCGCTCGAGGCAGTGCAGAAAGGTCGATGGGTCAAACTTTGGCAGAACGACCTGCGCGCTGCCTTGGTACATGGCCCAGTTCATCATGAACGTGGCGTAAATGTGAAAGTAGGGCAGCACCATGATCGCATGCGACCCCATGCGATCGATGGAGCTGGCTTGGACGACGTTGGACGTGAGGCCGCCAAACGACAAGCGAACGCCCTATGCACACGCGCTGGCTGTTTAAATCGCAGCCATTCGATGTGTACCTTGGGCGGGCCGGTCGTGCCGCTCGAGAAGGGCAGGAAATTGACGTCGTTGACGACATCAATCTCGACCGACGGAACGTTGATGCTATCCACGCGCAAGAGATCGCTACCGGTCGCCATGAGCCTCCTCCAATGACACGAGAGACATCATTCGTTCGTACTCGAAGGACTGGAACGTGTCGGACGGTCCGACGCAAAACTGGTGGTCGATCGGGATCGCGTACTCGGCCATCGCATCCCGTGCAGACGCTTGCACCGAGTGGTGCGTGATAAAGTACGTGGCCTGTCCGCACAAATGAGACGACTGGGCGAGAGAGAGATGATGTACGTACGTTGGCGGCGCGCATTTGGGCAGCGAGCTCGGTCCCGAGAAACTGCGGCGACGCCGGCGACATGATGGCGCCGAGGGCCGTGGCCGCTACACACATGGCCTCGCATGAGCGATAAACGCTGTCCGGCACGGAACGCACCATGGCAGAAGAGCGGGTACTCGACGCAGTTGACGACGTTGGTGCCAATGACCTAGTGGGCTGCAGGAGTCACAATTCGATGGAGTCGTGCGTACATCGCCTTTTTTGACGCCGAGGGCTGCGAGCGACGTGGCAATCTTCTGCACCTTCTCGAGAAAGCCGCCAAAGGTCGTCGTCTCGTGCGTGAGGCCGCAGATGAGCGCCGGGTTCTCTTCGCGGCCGACGCTGCTGTCGCGGATGAGCTCCCACGGAGTCTTGGACGGGATCGAGACGGCGGGGTATGGCGATGCGAACACGCGCGTCGAGAAGAGGCGGCGGCGGAGCATGGCAAAAGGCAAAGTGCCAACTGCAAGCCTTCCCGACCGCCTGTCCTGCAACGTGTCCGCACCGACCGTCACGTGTACGGATATCGTGTCGCACGCATACAGTGTAATGCAGCCGTGCAAGCCGTGGCCGCGGGTGCAAGGGTTCGCACTGGGTGGGCAGCGAGGACGCAGACAGGGCATCCTCTGTACGCACATGACCTGTTCTGTAGCCGATGCCGTCAAAGGCGGACATGCGCGCCGGAGTGCGCTGCGTCGATACCTCGGCTCGGCCGACCAGAGAGTCGTCGACCAGACGGCAATACACTGTATGAGCGCTGAGATTCTGCATGGACACGTCATATCGAGCATACAATCTTCAAGATGTTTGGACACGCCATCCACACACGAATCGCATGGATCGAGTAAACAACACGATATAACACTATTTAATAGCGGTGGGTATGGATCGCCGTCCTGCACGGCTGCACCATGTTTCCGGGAGGCTTGTGTGTGTACGCGTCGCTATCGATGTCGCTGGGATGTATGTATGGCAGCACATCTACAATCGATGGCGCCGAATGGAGCTTCCCATGGTCCTGCCATACTCGTTGGTTGTAAATAGTATGAGCGATAGTACTCATACACTATTTACGTGGCATCGAAGTTTTTGGCATTCGTCGAGCGTACTACTGCGCAGAAGCTTCTTACGATCAATGAATACGGCGCGACGACGCCTTTCCAATCAGCTCTCCATCCGACGGTAGTGCACTCCGATACAAACCCTAGTACATCTATATGCCGCTCGATGTACTAACTAAAACAGGATAGGGACCAACGTCGACAACGAGAGGTGCGAAGAACGTTCATTCTGCGTGGTAATGTGACAAAAATCGGGCTCGCAGCTTCAAGATCGCCACGCCGTTGTTGGAGGGCCTAATCTTATTCTGTGGCTACCCGAGCCCTGCAATCAGAAAATCTGCTTTTCCGCTGCGTGCTGCGTCAGGTTTGTTCCAGACCTAACAAACGAGCAGCTCGGCTAGTGAAGCACGAAGCAGAGGAGAGAGGAAGACGCATGGACCACACAAAGGCGCACGGAGACGTGCGTCGAAGTAATGCCCCAATGGCCTCAAGTGACCCGACCCGTGATATCGTATATTACGAGAGGGGCACACACTAGCTGCGGCTCAAACTCCTAGAGTGGCAAAACCCTCATACTTGATATAAGGGGAAAAGCCGACTGACGGTGGAAACAGCCAATGACGTGGCAGAGACGCATCATGACTTCAACCAGCCATGCGTCTCGAACGAGCTCCATACTACGGCGTGGGTGGAGCGCAACGCGGTCTTGGACGAACAGCTGACGCTCATGCACACGTCGCTCCAGCCGATCCTCAAGGGCCACGACGCGATGTATGTGCGCTCGAGCAGCTCGTCGGACTCGGGTTTGTCGCGCCTCAACATGCTGCTCTCGTTGCGGGACGTTCGCCCGAGCAAGTTCCGCGATCCCGTCGCGTGGACCAACGAGTTTGAGACGCGCTTCAAAGTCTTCCTGCAACCTTATCTCGCCAAGTATCCCGCGCACCTCGTCGGGGATCTCCAGACGTTCGCGCTCGAGTTGGCGCAGCCTGCGATGCTCCACTTCGCGAACGCCGATCGCCCGCGCAACGCGCCCAAGTGGAACCCGCCCGGCAACCTTTCGTTCCTCGATTTCAAGCAGCACTACATCGCGTACCATGCTACGCTTGACCATGAGTCTGCTCCAGGCTCCTCAGACGCTGATGCGACCACGGAGACGTCGGTCCTTGTAGCTGACGCCGCCCGCCGCAAGCTCTCCACGCAACGCCAACAGCGCCCAAGAGCCGTGCCCGGGGGAAAGTCGAAGAAATGCCGCTACTGTTGGTCCGTGCGTGGCAAGAAGTTCCCGCACGCGACCGAGACCTGCCGTGCCTTGGCCCGCGCGTTTACTGACGACGACGTCCCGAGCGATTTCATTCTCCCTGTGTCCCTAGCGACCTTGCGAGACGTCAAAGCGTGCGGCAAGCAGTCGAGGCGTGCGACGTTCCAGACGCCTTCCGACAAGAAGAAGCGACAGGAGCGGTGCAAGAGCGGTTCGGATCGTCCTCGTCGCAAGCGCCATGCTCGCCGTCAAGAGGATTCCTCTCACTCTCTGTCCGACTCCTCCGACTACGACTCCGCGCGCAAGGCCCGCCGCTCCAGCCGCCACAAGCGCAGTGGTGGCCACCGCGACACGGCGCCGCGATGACCACCGCTCTCGCTCGACGACGCGTCGCAGTTCGTCGCACGATGCCGGCAACTCGGCCGCCGGTAACGTTAACACGAAGCCTTCGTACGCTGCGTCTTCTTTCTCCTCGAGCCAGCCTCGAGAGTCGCTTCCCGCGACATCGCTTCTGCGCCCACTTCTACAACGCAGACTGTCGAGCCTCGATCTCTCGTCATGTCGGAAATGACACAAACGTTGCCCACACTGGCCTCTCAGCCCGCGACGTCGGTTGCCCTTGGCCGCAAACTGGTCGGGATGCTAACCGCTTTGCTTCGCTGGACACGAACGACGACCGTCGGTGCAGGCCGCGTTGGCGCGAGCTGGGTCGCGTAGCCAAGACGTGAAGGAAGCAGCACACGTGTCGTCAACAATATTACACCTGAGGGAGTGAGTGATTCGACCATTTGCAACAGCTTTCCGACAGAGCGACCACCTGCGGAAAGAGCTGCACCATGCGCACCCAGGCTTAAAAGCCGAGGAGTTGACGAACCAGATCGTCGCAATGCCCGAAATGAAACCCGAGCGGTGCCGCGCCAGCGGATCAAACCGGCGGCTTGCTGCCCGTTGTCGGCGGCAACGGCCGCGAGCACCCTCGGAGTAACCACGTAACGTTAGTCGAAGCGCCCGATCGAGACGGTGGGGGGTAGAGCCCATGATGGACCCCCACGAGAAGCCCCCCACGACGTTGTTGCGCCGCTTGATCGGGACTGTGTGAGCCCATGAGGGACCCACACGAGATGCAACCAGCGTCGCGCTAGCGGGTCAAATGGGCGGCTTACTGCACTTGTTGGGCTCACCACCTACCAGGCGCTGACCGCTTCGTCTCGTGCGACGGGAGCGGCGGCTTGGCTAGGCTGCCGATGTGCAATCGCGTCAAAGAGAGACACGCCGGCGTCAAGGGGTACGCATCGAGCCCGGCGGAGCGTCCCGAGCTACGTCGCGTTCGTGCCCGCTGGCTGCCGTCACGACTCCTGAGCGATTGCGCCTTGGTCGGAGCCGCGGGTGCGATCAAACAAAAGTCATGTTGCAATGAGGCGCGTCCACGCGAGCTACTGCCGAACCATGGACCGATGCTGGGAACGCGGTGCATCGTAGCTTGGCTTTAATCGCCCGTGTCGCGCGGCACGTGACCAATCATGGTGACCAGTAGCGCTTGGTCGGGCAGCGTCGTGGCGCGAGATACCGGGACCAGCCGCGGCGTGGCTGGCGGACCATGCCGATACGGGTGGGGTCAGCTGCGGGTGCCACGACCCGCCGATTCGGTCGCGCCAAGGACGATGCGCTGTCTTTAGCTCTTGCATCTCCCTTGCGTACAAGCGTTGAGCCGACTGCGCGTGACTCGCTTTGGCTGCTACTGTACTTGCCGCTGGCCGAGCGCATCGAGATCCTTGACCTCAACACGTTGCGGGGCTAGCCGCCCACCAGCTGCCTTGTCGACCGATCGGCCGCTGACCAAAAGTGTGTCCAGGCCGCATCCGAGAACGCTGCCTGCTAGCATGGGCGCCTCTACAGGACTCGCGTGTGCAGTAGGGAGTAGTAGGCGGCTGGCGAGGACGCAGCGGTACCAAGATCACTTTGCGTTGGCCAGGCTTCGTCCACTCCGGAAACCCAATTTTCATTTTCGGAAAGTGTACTGTAGCTTGCTCGACGACGTGTGAAGAGCTCGCGCGAATGGGCACAACGAGGCGCCTTGCAGCGTACTAAGACGCGATGCCGCCACTTGGAATGGCTATATCGAAAGGAGTGAACACATTTCGTTGAAAATGGCATCATCCATTCAACAGTTTTTACATGACAATTAGCTCGTATTACACTTTAATACTGGGCCTGGAGCTCACGGCGGAGGATCTTGCCCGTCGCGCTCTTGGGGATTTCGGGTACAAACACCACTTGGCGCACCTTCTTAAAGGGCGCGACGCGCTCGGCCACGTACGCCATGAGCTCTTCGTCCGTGATCGTCTGGCCGGCCTTGAGGACGACACAGGCCTTCGGGATCTCCTCGCCATCCGCGTTCTGCCTACGTCAGCCATGTCTTCCATGAGCACCTCGTCGACAGGATGGCTCGTGGTCGGACCCGCGAATGCAGCCGGCGTCGGCGACCTTGGGGTGCGTCAAGAGTACGTCTTCAAGCTCCGCGGGGGCAATCTAGCACCAACAGGTGTAAGCTCATCCGTGCATACTGAGGTCGTCCAGTACCTGGTGGCCCTTGTACTTGATGAGCTCCTTGAGGCGGTCGACGATAAACACGTGGCCTTCTTCGTCCACGTAGCCCATGTCGCCCGTCTTGACAAACCCGCAGTCGGTCATCGTCGCCTACACAGACCTATGTCATGAGACATCGCGATCCAACGTAACACGTACGTTGGTGGCCTCGTCATTGTCGAGGTAGCCAAGCATCGTCTGCGGGCCACGGTACCAGAGTTCACCGACTTCACGGACACCAACGTCGCCTTCCTTGAAGGGACACACGACGCGCAGCTCCGTGTTTGGAATCGTCGCGCCAATCGAGCCCTACCCCTTGAATATAAGATCCAAGAGGACATGGTATCGGGCGTACATTCTTGGCGTTGTGGTCCTGCGAGTAGTTGGCGACGGGCGAGAGCTCCGTCATGCCGTACGCTTGCTTGACCGTGATACCAAGGCGCGTCTTGATCGCGGCCTCGAGCCCTTGCCCATGGGTGCGGCCGCCGAGACGAGCATCTTGGTTGCCGAGAGGTCGTACTGGTCGACGAGCGGGTGCTTGGCGAGAAAGGCCGCGATCGGCGGCACAATGTGGTTGAGGCGGACCTCGTACGTTTGGAGGTTGCTGAGGAACGCTGGCGGGTCAAACTTGGGCATCACGATTTGCGCACCGCCTTGGAGCAGCGACACGTTCATCAACATGGTACCGTAAATGTGGAAGTACGGCAGCACTGACACCGTGTGGCCCGAGAGGTCGTCGAGCACCGACGTCTGCATCGCGTTCGCCGCCAAGTTGAAGAACGACAGCTTGACGCCCTATTGAAAATGCCACAAAAGATAAGAGTTTGTGTCGCAACAGCGTCCATGGCACCTTGGGCGGGCCCGTCGTGCCGCTCGAGAACGGGAGGTAGCTCACGTCCTTCTTGAGGTCGACCGCCACCTGCGACGGGTGCAAGTTGCTCGTGTTGAGAAGCTCACTAAGCAAATCGTGTGGCTGAGTTCCAGATGAGAGAGTATCGAAGGACGCGTACTCGAACGACTGGTAGTGGGTCGACGGCCCAATGCAAAACTGGCGGTCCATCGGGAGCGGGTAAAACTCCATGGCTTCCTTGGCCGCGTCTTGCACCGCCGCGTGCGTGATGAGAAACTTGGCCTACTCACACCGTAAGACCGTCGGCACTGTCGGCAGCGGATGCATGAGGTAGTACCTTGGCCGCCTTCATTTGGGCCGCGAGCTCGGCGCCGCGGAATTGCGGCGAGGCCGGCGACAGGATCGCACCAATCGCGGTCGCAGCTACATATCATATATTTGTGAAATGCTGTTTGTCTCCACGTGCAATCTCGTACCGTGAAAGATGATGGGGTACTCGACGCAGTTGACCGCGTTGGTCGCAATCACCTAGACGTTAGAATTGAGAAGGGGAGAGACGAATGATTCGCATACGTCGCCCTTCTGAATGCCCCGCTCGAGAAACGAGGCCGCCACCTTTTGCACGTTGGAAACGAACGCCCCGTACGTCATTTTCTCGTGCGTGAGGCCGCAAATGAGCGCCGTGCGGTCCTCGCGGCCCTTGGACGCGGTCTGGAGGAGCTCCCACGACGTCTGGAGCGGCAGCTCGACGTCCGGATGCGGCGACTTGAAGATGCGCGACGTCGCTGTCGAGAGGCTCCGACGTGCAAGGCGGCGGGACGTGTGCGAAAGCATGCTGAAAGGAAAGTGTGTTGATGCAAGGATGATTTTTCCCAAATTGCACTTGGCCACCTGGTCAGGTTGAAGCGACACCAAGCGGCACGCACGTGATTGGTCGCTTCCATTTTCGGCGGCCGTGGATTGGTGGTTCAGATTGCGACGGGCCAATCACACGAGAAGTCAGGCTGCAGGGATCTCCCGCGCTGTCGAGTCAACACGCGTTGGGCGTGCGTCATGCAAGTACCTGGCTTGGCGTCATCGTCGCCAATCGACGAGATGAGCCGATGGCACTCGATCAGGCTTCTGGAAGCTTGCACGGAGGTCTCTCGCAACCATGAGCGGTCACGTCGTCCCACGACCAACGCCGTCGACCGCTCCGTTCAACGAAGCTGCATCGAAAGGAAGTATCGAGAGGTGAGTGCGTGCAATGGGTGAATACATGCAGTTGCATATACACGCCGGTACAGTACCAGTACCGGCATCATGGCGAAGCCACTCGACCGTGCAGCTGTGCGATGCAAGATGCACTGCGCTGGAGCTATCGTGTACTAGTGTAAGTATGCCTTGGTGCGCCAACCGTGCCATATCGGTTTGCAGTGTGCTGCTCGTGGACAGGCGCTATCGACGATCAGTCGACACTCCCGACGGGATGTATCAAGGTTACAAAAACCAAACCGTCAACAGGCGACGTTGCCTGGTTCTGATGCTTGTTACGAGCGATGGTTCGAGACTCAACAACGGAGTACTAGTGATATACAATGGTCTTTCCATCGGCATCGGGCAAGAAAGATGTTAATTGACTTGAGGAGCTCGTGGCTCGTGGGTCCTTCCTGTACCGATGGGATTTCCATTACTTCCTGTCCAATAGCCTGTACCCTGGTCACGACGCGCGCCTGCCAAATGACAACTTGATGTGTCATCAACGAGGCAGATGCTTTGTTATTGACACTCTTTCTAATACTGTGCTTACAATCAAAGAAAAGCTCGAAACCCCATTTTACTAGCACGGACAGCGCGACCATGCGATGCTTGCGCGGGACCTGCTGCTCAAGGGAATATTGTTTTATCCCCTTGCTGCTGCTGGACCTCGGTTCCTGAAGCCACGACCGGTATAACCGGCTATAGTGTAATCGGTTAGCCGTACATCTAATCGGACGACTATTCGGAAAGCGAGCTGGAAAGAGCTGTCGGATAGTCGGCTCGATCATGTGCCCATGTTTCGGTTGGCGCCATTTGCATGCCACCTGCCACCCGAGAGCAAGCTGTCGGCACAGTTTATGCACCGCAAGTCAGAGATTACATCGTACGCAAGATGCTGCAAACTGCTAGCTCAAGAACTCTAAAGTTTATCCCAGCAGCCTCACTGACTGGAACTCTGTGCAATACAGCAGTGCGTACCTGTCGGACTCGTGACTTCCATCGCAATCTCAATCGCCGAAGGTAATAGGAACGTGCCTCATGTCAATGAGCCATTGACAGCTGAATCACATGGTCTCGATTTTCGACCTCTGAGAGCATCTTTCGTATCCAGTCGACAATCGAAGGAGGCACTCAGGCTCTCCTTTTCTGCGCTGCTTGCGTCGAATCATCAAAGCGTCTGCGTAAAGCGTCTGCAAGAGTCGAAAGCCGTCTATTATAAGTATTTAGTCAAAGACGGTAGGCGTGTCATTCGTCCGTCAGGCCCGCTCGCTGGTCCTTTGCTCGTCCGCCGCAATCAGCTCCATCATCGTTGCGATCGGCTTCATGCAATTCTCGAATTGCTCGGGGTCGTCCTTGGCTCTGCGCATGAGTGCGTAAAAAGCAGACCAGGTTTCAGGCACGGAGTCCAGAGCTTTAATCATGCGTGCGTCTTTAGATTCTTGACGAGCGACGGCTTCGTCGCTGCGCTTGCGTTTGGACGCGGTTGACATGTTGCATTGGCGGTGGGGTTGCGGCGGAGGTAGATCGACACCAAACGGAAGCTGTTGTTTGTGGACCAAAGGCTATTATTAATATGCCATGTCCGACCAATGCAAGCTGCGATCGGCTGGAGAAGCCGAGTGAAGATGCATGGTGTAAGGGCTTTTGTATTGCATACTAGTCGTAGGACTAGTATATCCTTCCATCCTTCCATGCCGGTAGTGACCCTTCCTAGAATTGTCATCCGGTAGACATGGGGATAGCTCCTGTAGCTCACTTCACCCTTGCCCTCTGTGGTGTAAGCCCAATACAACTGCTTGCTTCACGGGAGACGTCCTCTCTCTGCTGTTTGTGTTTGCACCGCGGACGCTATAACAAAGCTTAATGAGCCTCTGGCGGCTGGACGGGAATATCGGGGGGGAGGCGTCGACGCGTCCGATGGGGTGCACGTCGTGGCGGTGCTTGATGAAAAGATTCTCGTTCGTGAAAATGAACGTCAGCGTGCCATTGCAGTCAAACGTCTCCCTCGCGTGGGAGGCCGCGATCCTTGTCGTACCAAGCAGCTTCCTTGGCTTGCTCCTGTTGGCCTTACCAGTGCATCCGAAAGGCTTCTCGCGTTTCGAGACGTTGCAAGGTTAACGCATAATGCTCCAAGAGATGTTGAGGCTGCCGAGCAGCGGCCTTCCATGACTTCCGTTGCTTGGTTGTGATTCGTGGCTGATCTTGGCTGCAGTAAAAGCGTACTGCGACCTGCCACTCGCGAGGTTGTGCTCGGGTCGTTGATGTTGGTCGAATCTGGAAGACGTGGACGCGGCGATGTGGGCGCGGCATGCGACCACAACAGCATCGCGCTGCGCAACAGACGTGCCAACGCTCAGGGTCCGCTGCAGAGCGAAGCACGTGGTTGAGGACTGAGATGGCCTTTTCAAGAGCCGCGTTTTCCTCGCCGATGATCTCTTCGTTCGCCTCGGCGACGGCGTTGATGGTCTCATCGATCTGCTCGTTGGTGGTCTCGGAGACGGCCCCGTCAGAAAGGGAGAGGTCCAGGTCCACAGCGTTATCGTCCGTGTACCTGGTCCCAGTCGCGACGTTGAGGAAAGCATCCCGCCAATCGTTTAAAGTTGCGCAGACGGTGCCGTTGGATTCGAGTTGCTTGAGGTCTGCGCCCGTCCGGCAGTCGTGTCTGGACTCGTCGTAGGTCCCTCCATGAAGGCGATCTTCAAGACACGGCTGCAAACGTGCACTTGCTTCGTCCTGTGCACATCATCGTGCATTCGTCGAGGTCCTCGTGTACAAGGCCGTCTGCGGGCGGCACTGCGTCCATAAGTACTTATTTCACACGAAGGCTCGGAGTGACGCTTCAGGCTCGGAGTGACGCTTTAGAGATCATACCATTCTATTATTATAGTCCCTACGCCGTAGACGATCGAGTCCCTGGACAACGTCCCGCCACGGCGACGCAACTCGCTTCTTGTCGATCCCCGAGTATTTGCGCGCCGTCGTGCGATTTTGACTGTCGTTCTCCGATGCGCCTACCGGTTGGCAGCGCGAAAATGGTCGATGTGGCGGCGTCTGGTGAACGACGTCGACCAGATTATTGGGATCAGGACGTCGATCTGGACAACGGTGAATCGTGCTACGGTTGACGTCATGCTATCAGGTCGCGAGCAATGTTGGCGCGTCGTCGAGACAGCTCAGCTTTCTCTACGACGCGCTGGGTCGACCGTTGTGTTTCGGTAAGCATCCGAAACACACTGCCTCGTCGCTTCGCACACAGCGACACTTGAACATACAAAATAGCAGTGTACTAAAGATACACGTCGATCAGGCGGTGTGCACCGGGTGCGGCTCCGAGCCGCGTCCAAGCCTATCTATTGGGCGCCCGCCCGTGCCTCCTCCGGGAAGCTGCCTTACGATCGGTCCAACAGAATCCCACGTTCAGAAAGCATGTTCCTGGTCAGAAAGGCCATTTTGACACCCAACGCGCCTGATCCGCAAGTCAACTCTCTTGCGCACGCCCGTCGCGCTGGAATCTGGGTGCGCCTGCACGTTGTGCCAACCACGGGCGTTTCTCTGCGAGGTCAAATTATTGCCGGCGACCGCAGCATGTTGAGATCGATAGCATCTCCAGTCGACTCGTCCGAGCTTGCTACGTACACAGCACGACAGGAGAGCAAGAAGAGGCGCCAAACAGAGTAATACTCATCAACCGCGCTGCTCTTGCATGCGGGTACCGTACGGTGCGCGTATGCGAAACCAGCTGCCACCACGAGCTGCCACGTGTTGCGGCGCGGGACACACCGCCATCGCCGTTCCTTATTAGCATCATGACGGCCTCTACGGCGTTCAGCGAACGCTTGACGGCTTGTTCCAGACGCAGATGGAGCTTCGTTCTTGTCGACGCGGCTAGCATTGGTGGTCGACGCGGCAATAAACTGACCGCGTTGGGTTGTCGTCAGAGTTGATGCGTAATGGCCAAGTCGCGTCTAAGCAGCTTGTCCTAGAAACCTGATTCGGGTGGCCTGTCTTCGAGACGCGACTTGTTGAGCTCGTCCCTCAAATCACCATTCCACCTGGCATGACGCGAAAGCACTACCCGCTGCAGACGAACGCCTTCCAGTGCCCTTTGCTGAGCGCCAAGGATGAGAGCCGGCTCATCCAGAGCGGCGAGCACGCGCTGCGGCAGTTCCTCGACCGCATCCTCAACCACAACGACGCCATCACGTGGACGTCGGCCGGCGATCAAAACGGCGTCCGCCTCCTCGAGGGCGCGTCGCCTACCTTTGCCAAAGGTACTGACTGCCATGTTTGACGTTGCACAAGCTCAATCTCAATCTCAATGTAGGTCTGACGTGCCTTCGCGCGATCTCGCAAGTGAATGCGACGCTTGAGGAGGTCGCGCTTCTCCACGCCTTCGAGACGCGCGACAAGTGCTTCGAGTACATGCGCCACTACGCAAGCGACATCCTCGACATCATTCCGCTCTACAGCCTCGTGAAGCGGACGTCCGAGCACCCACTGCGGCAAATGTACGTCAAGTGGGTCGCCGTCGAGAGCCCCGTGCCCATGATCAAGAACCGCGACTACCTCTACATTGAGGTAGCAAGTTTCGTGTCATCGGGCAACCTCATGGACGATCGATATATGTGGTGTAGGCTCAAAACGAGTTTGAAATGAGCAACGGCCGGCGCGGCTGGGCGTACTGCCAGTCGTCGTTGACCCTCGGGTGCTGCCCGTCGTTGGAGGCGACGAGCCTCAACTTGATCCGCGCGACGCTCGACCACACGGGCTGCGTCTTCTTGGAGTCCGAGACCCCCGGCGTCCTCGACGTCATCTACCACATGTCGACGGACTTCAAGGGCGCGATCCCGCCATGGGTCATCAAGATGGCGCTCAAGCGCCGGGCGCGCAAGATCACCATGATCAACGACTACGTGCACGGCCTCCGCCTTGCGACGCAGCCACTCCGGAGCAAGGACGACGTCAAGAAGGCTGCGAAACCCGCCAAAAACTGCACGATCTGCGCCAAATCGTTCCGCTTTCATCGGCAAAAGGCCTGCCAAGCCTGCAGCAACGCCGTGTGCACGAGCTGCAGCCACTCGTGGCGCGTCAATGGCGGCATCACGGGTCCGACGCGCGCACGCATCTGTACCTACTGCTCCGACAGCGTCCGCGACGGGCAATGGGAGCAAAGTATGCTCAACACGTGTCGCTCCGGCACGTCCGACTCGACGGGTGCGTGGACCAACTCGAGCAATGGCGTGCACCGACACCCTTCGCCCAACACGGACAGCGGGCCACGGCCGATCCACTTGTACGACGATAGCGAGAACCGGTCGATGCACCGCCGCCGATCGTCGCAGCGGCACGAGTCCGCACCGCGCATCTCGCCGCCCAACAAGCCAACACCGTCGACGGCGACGACGACGGCGCATAGCAGCAGCAGCGCTGCAGCCGGCAGTAGTAGCGAGGGCATGGACCTCTCGTACTTGAGCTGCTACGGTGTCGATGTCAAGCCAGCGCGCGCCGCTTCCGAGCGACCGCTGGCGCGAAGTGTTTTGGTCGATTAGGAGGCGTGTGTTGTGCATGTGATAAGCTATAAATCTACCGGTTGTGTTGTGGTCTCGAAGGCTCGCGTGAGGCGGATCGGTACGAGCTCGCTGTTCGGTGAGCCTGCCACGTCACCGGATCTGTGCGTTGATTGGTGCAATCTCCAACGGCAATGTGGCGGGTCTGGTCGTGCGGAACCAGAATTGCACCGCACGAGAGATGGCGCAGTACGTATGAGTAATCGTTTGCCCGTGGTAATGGTAGAATACGCAAGATACTCGTAGCTCCGAAGCAAGGACAAAAATGGAAACACCGATCCCTCGCTGCTGCAGAATAGCTTTCAGAATGGGTTACGCACATCATAGGACACGCACCGAACGGCTGGGTTCTGTGGCCACGAACCGGTAACCCATTCGATATGGATGACTGGGCATGAAGGGGCGTGCGCACATACCGGTACATCAGTGCTGCTCGACCCACCACCAGCCAAGAAACGCGTCCGTGCATATATTTTGCAGGGCCTTTGTCGCCGTTGTCGATAGGTCTCCAAACGCGCGGTAAAGCCAAGCCAACTCGGAATCATACAGAACAACACTTGAATAAATTATAATGCAGACGCCATCACACTGAGACACTGAGCTAGATACGGAGCATGCTTAGACGCGCGAATGGCTCGAATGGGGGCGGCGCGCCGTTGGTTGCTCGACGCTCTTTCGAAGGTCGTTGACGATGACGCTGAGGTTGTACCGGAACGCGGGGCGGTACTTGGGGAGCTTGATGTTATCGTCGCTCGAGCTGCTCGTGGCTGTGCCGACGGACGACGTGTTCGAGTCGACCGTGCCGGTGCGGGAGATGCGGCGCTTCGTGGGTCCTTGCTGCTTGGTGATATCGCCGACCGACTTGGAGTGGGCGTTGTGAAGGAGGTGGTTGTACGAGCCGAGCATCGTTCTGTGTATGTGTGCCGTATTCGAGGGGAATGAAAAAGTGAGCCTCTTGAAGTGGGTTGCAATTCCAGTTGCCGTGGGACAGGTCATCGCCATCGAACGCAACCAGCCGCCGCGGGTGGTGGTCGGCCTTCCATTCTTTGTGACTCGAACTAATGTCAGATTCCATATCGCTCTCTTGCGTGTTCACGCAGACGCGCCAGCTGGCAACCATATTCCAGCCCAAAGCCCTTGCCACGGCATCGAGACATCTGGATGCTCTCTTCGCCAAGTGCCTTCGCCCAAACAAGCTGGCGAGTCCTCTGCGCCATTTTACACTGCAAGACGCGCAAGATGGTGCGCTGGATTGATACGCCACCAAGCGTGTCCGTTGCTTCGTCGTTCCATCATGGAAGTCGTCGTCGTCGCGCTCTCTTCGACTACTGCGACCTCGCACCCAACTCCAACGGTGGTGTATTTGCGCTGATAGGGACGCAGACGACGGACGACCGCGATTGCTTGAAGGAATCTTGGGCGCGGTGATCGTCGTCGGTCCACCCACGTCACGTACGCATGAATACACCAAGGGTCGTGCGCGCGGCGGCGTCTAATTGTTGGCGAAACAGCGTGGGACTCGCAGACGCAGGTGCGTTCACGTCCATGCAGAGGGTTCTTTTCTTTAGGCCACGCCGCCAGCACTTGTCCGCGTCAACGTCGAGTGTACAAAATTACATAGGATTAGGTCGATGGTTCATCATAAATACGAGACAGGGGCCACTCAATAGCGCTGCCGGGACGCAAACCGTGGCCGGTTGTACGCAGCGTCGACGTAATCCCCATAGACGCGATGCGGCTTGGTCGTTGGGAACGCGGTCGGTCTCGTTGGCTTTGGCACGGGCGGCTCGACGCTGACAGTTACTTGCACGAGCATCGCCTGAAGGTCGAAAGCAAACGCGGGTTTGTACGGTGGCGGCGGCGATGTGGACGCTGCCGTCTCGGCCGACGATCCGGAGCTCGATCGGCGGGTCGGTTTGGTCACGGTGGGGTACGTCGTGCTCGCGGTGGTCTTGTCGCTAGCATAGTCGGCGTAGAGCTTGGCGCGGTCGTACGCAAAGGCGCCCGAGCTGCCCGACATGGTGAGCATCATCTTGACTTGCGGTGGGAAATTGAAAACTGCACCGCTAGATACTTGGCGTGGCCTCTGGGTGGCGTAACCAGCTTTTGGCGTCTGATCGAGTGTACCGTGGTAGTACATGTAGACGACACCACTGGTATGTGCCCTACAGTGGGCGCCATCTAATCTATTCGACCATCGATCGTCGTGTAATCTGCTATCGTGGCTACTTCTTGACCTTGGCACAATCAATAACCAAGAAATTGGCCGTTTGCGATGAAGCGGCAATCGGTGCTCCAAGAGCACACGAGGAGCTCTCGGGACGCGAGAACGCTGTCGAAGTGGTGTGTTCGTTCTACGTCAAGGTGTACAAGTCGAAGTCTGCAGCACCTTCGCACTAGACGTGCGGATCTGACGTGTGGTTATCGCAACGGGTCGCTTGTGCGGGTAATCGACGAGTGATTTCGACGAGTGGGGATCGGGGCCAACGTTGCCATCGGGAAGATATCCCACGGAAAACAAGTGGGGATCAGGTGGTGCTGACAGGTACTACCACACAGTTTGTACCTTGTAGTGCCTCGACGTCAGCAAGAGTCGACGCAGACTCGGTGCTGTGCCCGATCAAGCACCCTTGCAACGCCGAGACAAAGGGAAACGGACACTCTGCGTTCAAGCATGGTGGCCTCGACACATTGCGGGCGTTGTTCTGTCATCGCTCGCGCGCGCCGACATAGCTAGTGCCCCGGCCGACGTACGTTTTCTGGTTACAAAAAGGGCGCAGCTGACCGAGATGGGTCGTAGTACGGTCAACGAGCGCTCGGTCAGCGTAGACGCTGCTGGCCATTGACGTGGCAAGTATGATTTCTCAATCGGCGGGCCGTGTCCAACACTTGTTGACCGCTTCGGTCACACTCGTTTTGGATTGCCCATCTGAGATGGTCGCCGCTGGATCAATTCGCGATGCTCTAGCACGCTCATAAGGACCCGCGCACGAAGCTCCGACCGGCTCATTTGTGCCTGTGACGTGGCGCGTTCCAGATGGAGCGCGTGGGTCCAGCATTGCGTCCAGAGACCATCGGTCGTCGGACGGTTCGAAACGCTGCCATGCACGCAGACGACGATCACATCGATACTGGATCGGTCCCAGGGCCGCAGTCGACCTCCATCTCCAAAGCTCCTGTATCTCCATGGAGAATACGACGACGCAGCGAAACGCGGTACAGAGAAACTCGCTCCGTGCTGCTATCGTTTGATTGGGCATTCCCGAACCTGTGGGTGCAATCGCGGGTAAAAATGGCGTGGGTCGATATTTTCTTGAAGCTGGACGACGATGAGCCCGTATTATCGAGTATTGCAGCATGCCAAAGAAGGCGCACTACCCCGTGCCGACAGGCTTCTTCCGCTGCCCGGCGCTGCCGGAAACGGAGACGACGCACTACATTGAGCTCGGCGACAAGGTCTTGCGCAAGTTCCTCAAGAAGGCCCTCCTTCCGGACGCGAGCGTGCACTGGCGGCCCAATGGCGAAGCCGACGGCGTCGAGCTCTTTGCGGGCGAGCCCACGCACCCGACAGCGCACACCAAAGGTGCAACGTCGCTAGTTTGCACTTGTAGTTTCATAGTTTGCGTACAGGTGTCATCCAGTACCGTGCCAAAGCCCGAATCCATGCAAGCTTGGACGAGGTCGCGGCGCTGCACGCGTTCGAGTCGCGAAAGCACTGCTACGAGTATACGCAGCTGTACAACCACGACATTCTCGACATACTCACGCTCTACAACTGCCTTCCGCGCTCGGACGACCGGCCGCTCAAGCAGGTGTACGTCAAGTGGACCGCGATGCAGAGCCCCGTGCCCTTCATCCACGACCGCGACTTTTGCTTTGTCGAGGTAGTAGTATTCTGCCTGCGTAGTACCTACAGTGCCGTATAGGCACAAGATGCGTTTAGCTTGACCAGCGGTCTCAAAGGCTGGGCGTTTTGCCAGCATTCGATCGCTCTTCCGTGGTGCCCGCCCCTGCACGACACGCAGCTACGCCTCGTGCGCGGGTCCATCTACCACACGGGGTGCGTTTTTCTCGAAACAAGCACGCCCGGCATTCTGGACGTCATCTACCAGTTGGCGACGGACCTCAAAGGCTCGATCCCGTCGTATGCGCGCAAGCTTGCGCTGCGCCGACGGGCGCGGAAGATCACAGTCATCAACGACTTCGTGCACGCGCGCCGGCTCATGCACGTACCCATGAAGTCGCGCGACGAGCTCATCTCGACAAACGACCGGCGGTTGTGCTTTCTGTGCGACAAGGCCTTCTTTGGCCTTGCGAAGCGCCACAACTGCCACGGCTGCGGCGAGGTAGGACGCACATTCGTGTTGATCGTGCACACCGTGGCATCAACTAATAGGTGGTGTGCGCCCGTTGCAGTCGGTCGTGGCGCCTGTCCCACGGCAACGTCTCGACCAAGGTGCGCATCTGTGCCAAGTGCAGTGCAGACGTCCGATCGGGTGCGATTGCATCCAGCAGCCGCCGGCTCTCGCGCAGTGCCTCGTCGGTCTCGGGCAGCGGCGAGCCGCACGAGTCGGACGACGTCGTGGACCCAATCTTGCTCTTGACCCAGTACGGCGAGCCGACGCGGGTCGAGTCCAAGACCAGCGTCGACTTGGGCTACTTGGAGCTCTACGATCGCCAAAAGCAGTCACCCGGCGACGCCAAGGCACGCTTGAGGCTCGAGCCGCCCGCCGCGATGTTGGAAGAGAAGGGCTCGGACTCGGCCGAGTTTGAAGACTTTTTGAACCTCATGGCCAAGATCAACGTCAAGCAGCAGAAAAGCGCACGCCTCGCACGCTACTCGGCCAGAGGCCCCGCGGCGCCGTAGTCGACGTGCCCTACTTGGTATTCGAAGGCAGTTTTAGTAGTATTTGAGTTGATAGCAACAAATGCACAGCAGATGCAAGGGACCTCACCCCTACAATTCGATGCGTACACTGTACTGTACCGAGTCGGGTGCTCGCGGAGCGTGATGGGCGTTTTCGTACTTGCAGGGCGATGGTCGAAGAGCCAGCGACGTCGTTCACTGGTCTATGCCGGTCGTACAAAAGTGCGTTGGCGCATGGTCACGACCAAGAAAGCAAACTGGTCGTCGTTTCGATGTGCAGGTGGTGTGCGATCACGCAAGAAAGGACGCACGCAGTAGCACCACAACCTCGTGCCCGACTCGCCGTCGTCAAGCCACCAGCTCGACACCATTCGTTGGCTGTCACACAACCCGATGAAATATGAGCGGTGGCCAGCTTCCGGTCAATCGGTCACCGGCTCGGAGCTGCTTTATGGATAATGATGGCACACATCATCTACCATGTCGACGACGTCGGCGATGCAAACGCGGTCCTGCACGGTACGGGCACTAAAGAAGGAGACTGCGATCATCTTCATGGCGGTGATTCATAGCGTACACAAGTGCTGCCTTGGCACCTGTACAAGTGGCGTCAAGTCGAATGGCAACGTGCGCTCTGCCTCTAAACTGCATATGTTTTACTGGATATCAGTATGCTTCCTAGTCTACCGTACGTGGCCGACCTGCGAGGTCTGCGGTGTTGACGCAACAAAAAGTGAGATATGCAAAACCACCTCTGACCTCCAAGATACACGGGACTTGAAGTTTGTATGGGCGGGCGCTCGCCTGCCACGTATGCGTAACACATTACGCCTCCGGCTATCAGACCACACTGCGCAGCAGATGGGCAAGGCTCGCTTCTTCGCCCTTGTTCGTTCCCAGGTGGCCATCCAGTCCTTGAGGCATTACACGCCACCTGCTGACCGCGTCAAGAAAGCATTCTTGGCGCCAGTTTGAGACTGGCGCGATGAAGTACCCGCTCGACGACAACTTCTTCCGCGTCCCGCCACTGTCCCTTGCGGCGCGCCAGAGCTTCTTGGACCAAGGCGACAAGATCCTCCGGACGTTTCTCGACAAGACGCTCAAGCGCGACGAGTCGATGCGCTGGTCGTTCGTCGGCGAGTACGACGGTGTCCGGCTCCTCGAAGGCGACATTCCCGGCCTCAAGCTCGATAAGAGCATCACGCCGTTCCGCGCGGTCACCAAGATCCACGCAACCCTCGAGGAGATTGCCGAGATGCACGCATGCGCCACGCGCGCGCAGTGCAAGCGCTTCATCCACAACTACGCTCACGACGTTCTCGACCTCATTACGCTCCACAGCCTCATCGAGCGCAGCGCGGCCCACCCGCTCAAGCAGGTGTACGTCAAGTGGACCGTGTGCGAAAGCCCCGTCCCGATCATCAAGGACCGTGACTTTGTGTACCTCGAGTCGCAGGACCTCTTCAAGCTCTCGAGCGGTCGGCGCGGCTGGGCGCTGTGCCAGAATTCGATCGAACTGCCGTACGTCCAGTCGCTGCAGAAGACGCCGCTCCAGGCGGTGCGCGGGACCCTCAACCACACGGGCTCGGTCTACATTGAAACCGACACGCCAGGCGTCCTCGACGTCATCTACCACATCTCGACCGACATGAAGGGCAACATCCACCACTGGGTGCGCAAGCAGGCCATGAAGCGCCGCGCCCGGCACGTCGCCGCGCTCAACGATTTTGTGCATCAAGCGCGCCTCGCCAGCGTCGCGCTCAAGTCGGAAGCCGAGCTCTATACGCCGTCGTCGACCATGGTGGTCCACAACTGCAGTCTCTGCATGCGCGACCTCGCGCGCGCCCGCTTTTGCCAGTCGTGCGCCGAGCCGGTCTGCAGTCGTTGTAGCCGCAAATGGCGCCTCCCCAACACACCGGCCGACCAACCCAGCGTCCGCATCTGCAACGTGTGCTCGTCTGCTGTCCGCAGCGGACGACTGACGTCGGACGACGGCCACTCGAGCGCGCCGTCCGAGGTGTCGTCCAATGGCAGCGATGTGAAGCCGCGAAAGCACTCGTCCATTGCCTCGGACGTCGGAACCGATGCGAAAGCGCGCAAGAGCTCGATGCCGGTCGAGCCGACGTCGGGATCGACCACCGTCGCGGCGCCCCGACGTCGCACGGTCGATGCAGTCGAAATGACACCGACCAAGACGACGACGACGACCAAGTCAAAGACGATCGGCGGTCCGTTGCGGATTGACGAGGACACGATGGATCTCTCGTACCTCAAGCTCTACGAGGCGCAGGGACCGGCGCCCATTGGCAACGTACATCCGCGGGCGCTGATGCGGCCCGAGCCGTCGACGTCGTCGTTTGTGATGATGGAACCGTCGGTCGAGTTTGACGACTTCGACGACGACGCTGACAGCGGCGTGTCGACGCCGGGGTCCCGACACGGCAGCATGGACTTTGACGACCCGGCGTTCGCCAAGTTTGTCGATCATATTACGCAGGCGCCGATGCGACAGAGCCTCCGCGTCGCGAACGAGTTGTCGCGGTAGAGTCCATAGTCTAACAGCAAAATATGCTAGTAGTATTTAAGCCACCAGGTTATGCTTCTACATCACCACCACTATGCCATCGCCATCGACGAGTGTGCAAGCGTCAACCCGTGGGCACGCCGCAGGTTGCCTTCAAGACCGCCCGCCTTTTATACACGGAAACGAGTCCCGCTCGACGGACGAGACAGAAAGGATTGATTGACTAGAGTCGTCCTCAAGACAACGTCAGCGCTCCCTCGTTCACCTAGTAGCGGTATGCGCATGGTGTAGTATTCTGTTTCTGCCGAAGCGACAGGGTCAACGACCCACACGTTCAACCAAGGGTCTGCGTTCAACGTACGGCTGGTAATTTACATGCCCCGTCTCCCGCTCGACTAAGCCTCTCGGCGGCCGGCTCGTCATAGCACCTTGGAATCGCTAGTTCACCACCCTATCCAGTTCAGTGTAAATCGTATCTAACTGTAAATAGACTCACTTCAACAACAACGTACGGCTGGTATCGTTTCGTGTGGCTCACGGAGCCCAACGTAGGGCTGTTATAGGTGAAGTAAGCCGTGTTGACGAATCCGAGTTCACACAAGCTGATGGAGCTGTCTGGAGGCTCGCGTCAACATCAACCAGACGTCGCCGCCGATGGCCATCATCTGCGGAACCAGAATTACTGTACCCTTTGTGGTCGGGATGACGTTGCTGGTACCGCCTGGCATGGTGTGGAGACGCGTCTTTGAAGATGGATGGCGGCAAATGAGGCCAGAGAGTATACTAGTGCGACCGTGCGACGTCGTTGTTGCTTGTGCTTTTGTCACCGCCTCTGCAACGCACGACACGCCTTCACTCGTGTGACGTGCCGAGAGTCGCGGAAGCCGATGATTGGTACCAAGTTTTGCCACAAACATGAGCTTGTCCGCGTCATCCCTCTTGCCCACAAGAGAGATTGAGCCGCGTGTGCGACCGTCTCGTCGGCGGGAGCGACAGGGGCGGTACGCCCAGAGTCGGAGTAGGTGTCGTCTCGCGCAGCCGTGCAATATGTGGGCAGCCCATCACCGGCGGCATCGAATCTCCGGTACAGTGTAGTGCGGTAACAAGAAGAAGATCTAATCGGGCACCAGATGGCGGCCGCGAAAGGCAAGCGGACGTCACGAGCGTCCGCAAAACTCCTTGGTTCGTGCACGTTCCAAGATGCACGGACGCGCGGCAGGTCGCGGCCAATCATGCTACTGTGCCATGCCGGTCTTCTGCAGCCGCGCAGACACGAAGCGGCGGCTGCCTCTGTCGACGCCGTCGGAATCATGGTATCGTCGCCATAGCACCTTGTCGACGCAGGGTGCCTCGTTGCGCCGGTGCCCATCCATCGAGGAGGACGATCGCACCACCCATAAAGTGCAAACTGCAAAGTCGCACGGATACGATCGGGTGGCCATGGACGTCCGAAAAATGTTCTCGACACCCGTTGAAGGCAGTCTCTCTCCGAGCTCATCACTGACCCCACGCTGCTCCTACGCTAACGTTAGTATGTCAAATCGCTGGTCTTCAGTCTTCTTCGTTCTCGCGTCGGCGTCGCCATCTGGTTCAAAAACCAGCAACACCAGCCGCAACTGGTGCAAGCGCATTTACCAAGTAGCGGCCATGACCGCAGACGCAAAGACAACGCCAGTGCCCAACGGGTTTCCCGTCCCCGAGTCCATCTTTGACATTCGGCCGCTGACGGCGACTGAGGAGGCGGCGTACATCGCCACCGGCGAGAAGGCGTTCAAGACATTCCTTGATGCGGTTCTGAAGCGGGATCCCGGCATGGTGTGGAACTTTGTCGGCGATTACGACGGCATCCAGCTCCTCGAAGGCGACATTCCCGGCTTCAAGCTCGACAAAAGTACGCCTTTCTTGTACGTATTCAAGTATTCAACGCTCTGCGTAGACGTGGTGCCGTACCGCGCCGTCGGCAAGATCACGGCAACGCTCGAGGAGATTGCGGAACTGCACGCGTTCGAGACGCGTGCCAAGTGCGACTTTTACCGCAACCACCACGCGCAAGACCTCGCCGATATGTTTCCGCTCTACAGCTTTTTTGACCGGACGCCGGCCAAGCCGCTCAAACAAATGTACATCAAGTGGTCGGTCGTTGAGAGCCCGGTACCGATCGTCAAGAACCGCGACTTTTGCTTTCTTGAGGTATTATTGCCCTTTTTCTCGCTATTTGTCAACGTTTTCACATCTTTTGACGTAGGCACAAGATGAATTTCACTTTTCATCTGGTCGCCGCGGGTGGGCGTTCTGCCAGCTCTCGGTCGACGTGCCGGGCGTCGTGAACCTCCAAAACTCCCCGCTGCACTTGGTGCGCGGCGGCCTCCACCACACGGGCTGCGCGTACATTGAGACAGACATTCCCGGCGTGCTCGACGTCATCTACCACATTGCGTCCGATTTCAAGGGCGCGATTCCGCACTGGGTGCGCAAGATGGGCATGAAGCGCCGGGCGCGCCACCTTGCGCACGTCAACGAGTATGTGCACAAGGTTCGGCTAAGTACGCGCAACCTCTTGCCAAAGACCAAGAGCTTTTACAAACGCAACAACGCCGGTGACGACGACGACGACATCGACGACGACGACGACGACGACACTTCGGCGCGGTGTTGTTATCTCTGCGAGCAGCCCCGCCGCTTCTCGCGCATGCGCAACTGCCAATCGTGCGGCGAGGTACTTCGAAGAGTACCTGTGCTCTTTGTATCTCACGAGAGGGTTCGTAGGCCGTGTGCGTGCGCTGTAGCCGCAAGTGGCGCGTGCCCACCAAGGGCAACGAGCATAAACTCGTACGGGTGTGCAACCTCTGCTCCCGCAAGGTGCGCGAGAACAGCATCTCCGAGTGCTATTACCTCGCGACACCCAACTCGGACGCCTCGTCCGAGACCAGCAGCCGGCGCGCGTCGTTCCGGACATCGTCGCTCGGCGGCGGCTCGGACTTTGACGCGCTTGACATCACGCCGACGCCATGGGCGAACAAGAGCCGGCAACTCAGCGACCCGCCGACGATGGACATTTCGTACGTCAACTTGTACGGCGCCGACTTGCGCAAGACCAAGTCGCTGCCGGTGCTCACGGCGCCGCCACCGCGCATCGTGCTCTTTGACCCGGCGACCTTTGCGGCCCACGAGACACCATTCGAGGCCGATGACGAAGACGCGTCCGTTGTCGACGACCTCGACACCTTTCTCGTCTCGCGTTGATGTCGCGTTGCACGGTGGAATATACACACCGGTATCTAATTACACCTGCGGTGTCTTCTCTCGATGCAGTATGTACGGAGCAACACCCACGCCTGCCGCTTGGTGGAGGCGCCCAGTAAGAGGGGCGAGGCAGATTACGTCGTGGTATGGGACATCGCTTCGGTGATCGACACTCGAACAGCAAACGCCACGCAGAGAGGCAGCGCGACCGCTCGCTTTGCCCATGACGTTGCAGATCGACTTCGTGCACGAGATGCGAAGCAGCGCAACCGTCTTGCGACGGAACCAGCAGAACAGACGTGAGTAACGCACGATACGTCCACGCTGCGACATGTCGTGCAGTTCGCCTTCTCGATCTACACGCCAACGGCCAAGTGCAAGGTCGAATATTGATGACGACGAACTGCTTCTCTATGCGTACCACAAGGACCTTTGCCGCCGGCGCGACGTGGGCCGGCAAGAGTCCAGCGTCGAGAAGGGAGGCGACAAGCGGCGCCGAGACAAAGACAGCGGCGGCCGCGACACGCCGCCGAGGCGTCTCTGTCTTGTCATTGAAGCCCCTTGTACAAGAGGCTGTAATGCGACGGTACCCAGATGGCATGCGGGCCTCTACGGATTCGAGTCGATGACGCTCGGCAGCTACAAACCACGTACATGGACGTATGGTATTAGTGTATACAAGCAACCCCCACACATCGTGATTTCGACCCGGACCACCGAATCGTCACGCAACATGGCCGCCATGTACCCTCTGCCCGACGACTTTTTCGTGGTGCCGCCGCTTACGACTGCGACGACGGCGTGGTTTTCCGACTATGGCGAGCGCACTCTGCGGACGATGCTCGACAAGATCCTCAAGAAGGACCCGACGATGCAGTGGAACTACGTCTGCGACGTCGACGGCGTCCGTGTCATGGAAGGCGAGGTCAAGGGCCTCAAGCTCGACAAGAGTACGTGGTCACCGTCTCTACCAACACGGTGGTCCTCATGCCCAGCCTCTTTGTTTAGACACGATTCCATTCCGTGTGTACGGCAAGATCACAGCGACGCTCGAAGAGGTTGCGGCGCTCCACGACTTTAGCACGCGCGAAAAGTGCCTCCACCACCGCAAGCACTTTGCCGAAGACACGCTCGACTCGCACACGCTCTACAATGTCATTCCGCGCACGGAAGAGAATGCGTTCAAGCAAATCTACGTGCGCTGGGTCGCGGTCCAGAGCCCCGTCGCGATCATCAAGGACCGCGACTTTGTGTTTGTTGAGGTGGGTTGTCCTTTCTCACTTTGCCGTTTCGGATTGCTGACAGTGCGCTTTGTAGAGTCAAAACGACTTCAAGTTTACGTCCGGTCGGCGAGGATGGGCGTATTGCCAGACGTCGGTGGAGCTGGACGCGCTCCCGCCATGAAGGGCGCGTATGACCTCGTGCGTGGCGAGCTCAACCACACGGGCTGCGTGTACATGGAGACAGACCAGCCCGGCGTCCTGGACGTCGTGTATCATATTTCGTACGATTTCAAGGGTTCGATGCCGACGTGGGTGCGGAAGCTCGCGGTCAAGAACCGCGCGCGGACCGTCAAATTGACGGCCGACCACGTCCACCAGCTGCGCCTGAACTCGCAGCTCCAGCGCTCGATGAGCTCGTCGTCGTCGTCGGTCTCGACCGAGGTCGAATCGGTCGTGAGCACGGCGACATCGGTGTTTTCGACCGCCGCCGCCAAGCGCTGCGTGCACTGCAACGCGTCGTTCCGGTTCCGAAAGAGCTACCAGTGCCAATCTTGCAACGAATCCGTGTGCTCGTCTTGCAGCCAAAAGTGGAAGCTGCCGAGCGGCAACGGGACCAGCGTCCGCGTCTGCGCGACGTGCTCGGACGCGGTCCGGAACGGCTGGGAAGGCTCGAGCGTCTGCGCGACGCCAGCCTCGGACATCTCGTCGCACGCCGAGGCCCGCCAGAGCCTCTTCAAGGCCAGCTCGTCCTCCAACGTACTCGAGACGTCGCCGGCGCGCCTCCGGATCGACGTGTCGCAGAGCGAACCCGTGCCGGCGCGCCACCGCCAGAGCTCCATCTCGAGCGCGACGGGACGCGGCAGCGTTGCGCTTGGCCTCGATACGCTCGACCTCTCGTACCTCACGCTCTACCACGACCCGAACAAGGGTCGTACCAACTCGCTGGACGAAGAGAGCAGCCAAGTGTCGGGCCTCTCGTCGGAGCCCAACTCACGCAAGTGCAGCATGGACGTCGAGGACGACCCGGCCTTTGAAAAGTTCCTCGACCACGTCAACCGCCACTCGATGCGCCTCTCTCTCTATGTCCGCGAGTCCCAGTGCAGTACGTAACACGATTTTTCCTTTTCGCTTGCATCTCGAAAATGTCTTGCAAACCACGGGATTCAGGATTCAGCTGAAGCGCATCGGTTCGCGACGACGACATGTCCGAAGTAGAAGCTAAGAAATCTGCCCGTCGTATCTCTGCACGCCGACAGCTTTACGTAAAAGCGTCATACATGGTGTCGTTGAAAATGAAGAAAACGACGTGGGATGCGTGTTGCTCGCTCCTTGAAGCTGCGGCGGCAGATGCTTCTTCGAGGTAAAGACGAGCGAAAACCATGGCGGTTGAATGCACGCAGAAACGAAGCCGATCGAGCGCTCTACCAGCACTATCGGCAAGAGTTCTGAGACCGTGCACGACTCTTCTCGAACGTACTAGCCTGCATGGCAACGGATTGCTCCACAGAGCGCCGAGTATTACCTACTACACATTCAGATCGCTACGTTGCTTCGATCGTAATGCACGAGCGACTGCTCAATAATACCTAGACCTCTTCTACATTCCCTTGGTACCCATATCCACGCTTTGCGTTTTGATTCTTTCAACGCCATTAATCTACTGTCAGGACCTCCAATAGGGTTCATACGGGGCGATGTATATGAAGTACATCATGTAGGGAACGACACGAATTTATATATTCTGCGCGTGTCAACTTTTGTGTTTGTGTCTCGGTTTTGAGCTTCATTTTGTCGATTTGAGATTTGCCGCGCAAATCTCAAATCGACAAAATGAAGCTCAAAACCTACAGAGTCCACTCGTGTTGCGCCTACTCTTTCTATATCTACTAGATGAATTATTACTTTCTAACGTCCTAACTACTTGGGCCCAAACGTGGATAAATACGAAAGGTCCACCTTGGGGCTCGCTTTCGGCGTCGCTCTGGGAGTCGCCACGGGGGTCATTGGCGGCGGCGTCATGAGCTCAGTCGTCCACCACGGCTCGGACGATGCATCCGAGTGGGGCGTGCTGTATCCACTAACCACGAGGTTGGACGCCGGGCCGGACCGAACAGCCTCGGAGCAGCGGACACAGACCCGGACAAGGTCGTCGTCCATCGACGGCAGCTTGTACTTTTGGCTGCACTTGGAGCAGACGACTTTGGCGCAGGACCGGCAATGGTGCACGCGGTGGAAGCGAAAGGGCTTGGTGCACACTGAGCAATGGACACCTGGCCGCGGGAGCTTGGTCGCGGCGGCCTTGGCCCGCATCTGCTGCGCACTCAATCGAAGCCGCGTCACGTTCTTCTCAATGTGGAGCACGCTCAGCGCGCGCGTCTTCATGCCGAGCTTGTACGTCCAACCCGGAATGTGACCCTTGAAGTCAACGCAAATGTGATAGATGACGTTGAGAACGCCGGGAGTCGCCGTCTCGACAAAGACGCAGCCGGTGCGAAGCAGTTGGCCGCGTACAAGGGCCAGCGGCGATGCCTCGAGCGACGGAAGATACGGCAAGTTGACCGACACTTGGCAAAAAGCCCAGGCTCGTCGCCCCGCCGGCGTCTCGATCGCATCTTGGCACTAGGGATCGATGGCGTGGGTCCTGTCTCTCACTCGATGCTAGTTCATGTACGTACCTCGAGGTACGTAAAGTCACGGTTGCTCACGGCCGCCATCGGGCTCGCGCACGCCGTCCACTTCAAGTAGACTTGCTTGAACGGGTCTTGCTTGGTCCGTGGCACAAAGCTGTACAAGGTGAACATGTCGAGAATGTCTTCGGCGTAGTGCTTGGTAAAGTGCGCGCACTGCGCCCGCGTCTCGAACGAGTGGATGTAGGCAATCTCTTCGATCGTCGCGCGCGCCGTCGTCACGGCGCGGTACGGCACGACAGCTAGTATGCAATGCATGAGTCGACATGGTTTTCATCGAAGAACGCTCGTACTCGAGTCGGGATTCATGGACACAGCGCCCTTGTAAAGCGCGACAGAGTCGTACGTGGCCACGTGGTCCCACGACGTTGCGCTCGGCTTGGTCAGCGTCGACTCGAGGAACTGATCGAGCGTTGTCTCGCCGAGCTGGGTGTAGTGAGCGACTTGCGATGGCGTTGGTGGCGGGCATACAAAGGCGTCGTCCCGCAGCGGAAACATCGTCGGTGGCCTCCAAATCGCACTCGGCCAGCAAAAGATCAATTGAGCTACGACAGCATTGCAATGTTGTTACGTTCGTCACGGTGGAGGCCGGGCTTGCAAGGAGACTGGGGCAGTCATGTCTTTTTACCCATTGCGCACGCTGAGAGGCGAAATGTGGCAGCGTTACGAGGTCGTCACATCCAGCAAGTGAACAAGCATCGAGGCAAGACATGTCCTCGCGGGGTGCAATTGCTGGGCGTAGACATCAAAGTGGCGAGCTGTCACGCGCAGTAACGCCGCTGTGGATAGGGTATATGCGCGAAACCGTGAAACGGCGACCAATCAAATCGCACGATTTGGTGTAGAAAGGCGATTACAACGCACAGATGGTCCATCTTGCGCCGAACGATCGATCGACGACGGCTCCAACCAGCGCTAATACGTTAAAGGATCCAGTGCATCGACATGTAAAACGTATATTTGCACAGTGCGAAGGTACTTGCGTCTACAATGCACAACGAAAATTTAGAGCCATTTCCATCATTTTGATGGTTGTGCTAGGTCCAAGTGCGAGTCCCGACGACCATCAGTCGCCCGGTACTAGTAGCTCTGCCCGGTTGCACGAGACAAACAAGACACCCATTTTCAGCAATTGTAGCTACCTTTGGCAAATCGCTGTACGTCCCGCTTGAGAACCTGACTTTGCGATCAGTTGAAAAACAGAAAACTGAGGGAGCCTGCGTAAAAAGAAGTGAAGAAGCACGCACAGCACTGTACCGGTAAGCGGCCAAACAAATTGTGCACTAGCCATTCGCGGGCATACAGGTATTTAGCTACTAGTAGCGGGCGGTTATGAATACCGGTACCAGCCAAGGTTGTCGACTACTCTAACTGACATGTGAATGCACCGATCGGATGGGCGACGGTCGAGCTCCGCGGCCCAAAATCGTCGTCACTGACGTGATTTCAATTGGTGAAGCCTGTGAGACCGAAATACCGAGACACAAATAATGCTGCAGTGAGGAGTTAAGGTGGGTAGCAGATCACACCAAGAAGACCCCGTTTTGAACCGATCCTTGTCCAGAAGATTAGGCATGAAGATGGTGCTCGCAAGGCTGGTCGGGCCACATCAGGATTTACTTCAACAACGAATCGATCCAATCTTCCCTTCCCGTAGGGCTTGGTCGCCTGCAACACCGTCGCCTACCAGAAATGTAGCACTGTACCTGGCAGCTCGGATCGTCTGATTCGTCAAATACCCAAGTTGTTGAAGGTTATTGAACTACAGCTGGGGAAAGATGCAACTTGGTTTCTGTCCCGGTAAAAAACCACGCCAAACCACGATCCAACAACTCTACTACGCCCTACGAGATGGGCGCGCGTCTCGGAAGGAGTATCTTTCCATCAGCGCTCCTTCGCTCTGCGCGTTGGACGCTGCGACGTCTCTCTGCGGCGCTAAAGACACACCTTGTCTCCAGCTCACGTTCGGGTGGCTTGCGCCTGTTTACATCGCGACCAGCATTCCTCGTGGGATGCATCAACATGCACATGCACTGTGACCACCAACCTGGTCGCCGCGCTGATCGGGGCGTCTACAAGGGACCATTGACTACAGTACCCTTCCTTCAACTAGACCGGTATGGTACTGTCGCGAGATGAAGATTCGTTGGGATATACCCACTATCTGCTCAACAATCTCGGTACCACGAGAACGGTTGTGCTGTGAATCACGTTTCCAAAGCCAGAAACGTGTTGTACCTCCCAGGCTCGTCATGGCTGCTTGGCCCGTCGGACGCGCATCCGAGTTGATCGCGTCAGCCAGCAGAAATGCCGCGGTATCGCTACAACACTGCGGACGAGGCCTCTGGGCCGGCAGACTTTGCAGACCATGACCACCGGTGACCACCTTGAAACAACGTAGTGTACATGTACAGCTCGTGAGCGTTGGCACGCACGGGGCAGCGAGAGACGCGCGAGCTAAAGATATGAGCCCACCCAGTGTGGTACATCCCGTGGGTGGGTGTCCATTGTGGCGTGACCGGCCTTCATCATTCAACGTCCACCACGTCACTTCGAGGGAAGCGCCACTCTTGCATTTCCCAGCGACACCATACCATGCATCTGGCGTGGCCACTGGACACGTATTTGTTCCCGTCGCCTTCGGACGACGATGCGCACCGATACAAGTCGATCGGTGATGCGTCCTTGCGCTGCGTTCTGGACGCAGCGCTCTCGGTCGAGCGCCGGTCGGCCGGATGGCGCCGCGTCGGCAGCTTCAACGACGTGAGTCTCTACGAAGGCGAGAGCGCGGTGCAAGGTATGATACCGTTTCGCATCGTGGCGAAAGCGTCGGCGACGCTCGAGGAAATCGCGCAAATCCACGATTTCTCGACCCACGCCAAGTGCCAAGTGTACAAGAGTCTCTACGCCGACGACATTTTGGCCATGACGACGCTGCACAGCTTTTACCCGCGGACGCCCCACCGGCCGTTCAAGCAGCTGTACCTCAAGTGGAATGCGAACCGCAGCCCCGTGCCCATGATCAAGGACCGCGACTTCATCTACGTCGAGGTACGCTTGCGATATCAAAACCCAAGTGACCACCCGAACACGTAGGCGCAAGACGAAGTGCGGCTCACGTCGGGCCGTCGCGGGTGGGTCTACGCGCAGACAAGCGTCGACGTCCCGGGCTTTCCCATCTTTGACGAAGCCGTGCGCGGCAACCTCTACATGGGCATGGGCGTCGTGTACCTCGAGACCGAGACGCCCGGCGAGCTCCATGTGATTTACCACCTCTGCGTCGACTTCAAGGGCCACATCCCGCACTGGGTCTTCAAGCTCGGCATGAAGGGCCGTGCGCGCAACATTCAGTTTATCAACGACCGCGTGCATCGGCTCCGGCTCAGCAACGAGCCGCTGCAGCAACCGTCGGCGCCGACCTCGCCGACGACGTGCGCGACGTGCCACCGACACAGCCATGCCTTTTGCAAGCACCGGTGCTGCCAAGCGTGCGGCGAGGTACCGTCTTCTTACATCAACGTTCGTCATGCAGTCATACTAGGTCGTGTGCAGTAAGTGCAGCCGGTCGTGGCGACTCTCGGGGCTCGCGGGCGACTCCCGCGTGTACAAGGCGTGTGTCTGCAATGTGTGCTCCCAAGCCGTGCGTGACCAAGACCGTAGTACTTTTCACAGTCAGCGATCGCAGGACGAGACGTCCCCCAGCAGCGACGGCAACCTCCACTATGGCGTCGGTGCCCACGTCGCATCGGACGACGGGTCGAGCGCGAGCGGCTGCAGCACCGACGTGGCCATGGACCTGTCGTATTTAGCCGTGTATCAGACCAAGAAAAAGATGACGTAATATGCGCGCCAACAATCATGTCGTTGCATCGTGTTCGACCGACGACGTGGGCACTTGCCGACGAGCCATCCGGACGGCTTTTGAAGACGCTTTGCAGCGCCCCACCAACGACTTTTCCGCCGTCTTTGGCAACGTCGGTACCGTCATGAGGGACCACACGACGCGGTGCCATCGGATACATCGTACTGCCTGGCAGCAGCAATATGTCAATATGACGTTAGCCGGATGACAACTGCGCCGCCGCTGCACGCCCTTCTCGTGCTGCATACCAGTACAGGCAGCCTCGGATCTGCGGCGTCATGGCAAGACTTGCCTACAGGACAAGCAAGATGCCTTTGCGGGCGACACCCATCGCCAAACCCAAGGGCTCTGGTGGGCAACTCGTACTAAAGTTTACACAGGACCCGATCCCTACGAGCCATTACATGCAACGAAAAGACAAATTGTTTGTGATAGTTATGCGAGAAACGGACAACGTTTGTACTCGATTAGTACATGCTGCTGGATGGCGCTTGCTGCTGGATGGCGCTATAAATGATGACCTCTTTCGGGTGCTGGTGTTTGACGACCTAGAGCATCTCGTCGGCGTCGGTCGCAGGCGTCGGGTCGAGCGCGTCTACGGCGGCGAGAATCATGCGCTGGAATACTTCGAGCGTCCAGAACGCCAACGGCTTGAGCGTGAAAGTCTCGTGCTGGATGACGACGATGTCAGCGGCCGTGATGAGGCGGATTGGCTCGTTGATCGCGCCGACGAGCGCTCGCATGCCTCAGCCCTCGCGCACGGCCGCCTTGTACTCGCGGATCAGCATTCGCATGCTCAGAAAGAACTCTTGCTCCGTTCGCTGGACCGCTTGAGCGACGACAGTCGTAACAGCGCAGGCAAGCGCCGTTGCGATCGCAGAACCACGCGCACGGGAGCGGGGTCGTCCTTGAAGTCGTGGAGCACGGTCGCGCCGTCGATCGTCGGACTGATAACCATGGTCTTGTAGCGCAGCACCGTGTCGCGTTGGCCAGCACGCAATGTGATGGTGTGTGTCCTATCTTTTGCGGGCCGAGCCACCAGCATGGGCGTCAAGGGCGGCGCCGGCGCCGAGGTCGCCGGCAGGAGCGTCTCAATCGACGCGTGGCTAGTCGCTTGGGCCTGCCCAATGGGCTGCGTGGTTTGTTGCGCAGTTTGCATCGTTCTTGTCTGCTGCTGGCGGCTAATTCTGCAATGGAGAAACCTCGGCGAAAGCGACAGGGGTCGCCAATACGGGGCAGACCACCACATAAGAGCTTACCGTCGCCTACGTGCCTGTCGTTGCATCGAAGCGGTCCTTAGCGGGGATTGAACCCGCGGCGCTACCGCGGCCGTCCGCGGTAGGCCCTCCAAGTAGGACATCGGCCATGCTCATGCTCGCGTTCGTGGCAGGATGAGCTTGCGGCCGCAACATTGGCTGTCCGGATAACCATGCTTTACCGGAGCCAACTTCGAGATCGTATCTTCGCCTCAATGTATTTTTATTGCATCCGCATGTGCTCAGATGACAGCTCCCTCGCCGAAACCCTCTGGTCGACGACGTCCACGTCGCAAGCCATTCGGAGGGACATGTCCGGTTTTGACGTAATATCAATTGACCCGGTATATATAATGCCTTTGTATTTGTATCGGACAGCACCACATGCCTATATTATTGTTCGAGGACAATATTCTGCCCTAAAACACGGGCTTGCCTAGATTTGGTCGCCGCGATATCGCAGCGCGGAACGTGGCAGCACAGCGAGTCGACCTGCGTGGCAGCACGACCAGCGTGGCCGTTGCGAGTCCACACTGCAATCTATCGCAAGTATAGGTTCTACATCACAGTGCCCCTTGGTTTAGCTAAGCTCTTCGCCGCCGACGACGCGCAGCCAAACGCAAACATCGGCGCGGGCGCAAAGGCCTTGAGCAGCGGCGTGAGTGGTCGGTTGGTGCGACGACACACGACCATATACAAGAGGAGGCTGAGCACGCCGACTTGACAGAGCGCCTACGGTCGCCTCAGCCTCCCGCATACGAATAGAGAGCGCGTACTGCGAGAAGAAAGGCGACGAGGAAGAGACCGACGTTGCCAAAGACGGCGGAAAAGTCGTTGGTGGTCCCGAGGCCGCCGGCGACGAGCGACGCGACTGCATACGGCGTGCACGTGATCACTGCTTCGATGCCGGCAAGCAAGACCGCGTTGATTCAAATCAATGGGACGCGTAGAAACTACGACACTGGATGTGTAGAATCCATCAATCCATAAAACCTCGATCATAACTCCAAACAAAAACATTAGATTGTGCGAATTGGAGCCA